AATTCAAAGGAAAACGGAAAATCAAGCTCCTCCTCCGGCATCTAGACTCGAAATTCCAGCCCTGCCCAAGGTGCCTACCTAATACCTACAGGAACGTCAACGGCTATTGTGTCAAGACTTGCCCAAAGTAGGCTGCGGGTCTGGTCTAAAGTTTTTTGACGCTCTAGTGGAACCTATGCGTCAACTGAGACTCGTCGGCCATCGTGCCTACCCTGCCTACATCCACATCTATGCTCACAATGTGCGCGGGTAGGTCGCTCTCACAGACGCTCACTCTCTCTCTCTCTCTCTCTCTCTCTCTCTCTCTTTCTTGCTCCACTCTCTCTCTTTTGCTGCAAGCCTCATCAGAATTTTTAGCTCTCCGAAAACGAGGACGCAGTTTCTCCGGAAGCACCGTATACACACAGCCGAGCCGAGGAATTGGAAGGTCCATAAATTCCGAAAAGTGCCGAATTTACACCATTTTCAGACCCATCGCTGATGCGGATGGTGTGCACGGAGAAGGCCAACCAATCGAAGGCTGTGATTTGTATGGAAGGGTTGGTATTTACTGCTTCCCTCTCTCTCTCTCTCTCTCCTCTCTCTCTCTCTCTCTCTCTCGCTGAAACTCAATGCATGAATTCAGAATCCAATACATGGACGCCGGCGGAAACTGCCACCTCTGCCATCCGGAATGTGAAGGGTGCTACGGACCGAGTGCGAGCCAGTGCATGAAGTGCCGAAATTTTATGGATACCTGGAAGGTAGGAAAATCAGTAAATGTTTCCCTCTCCTCTCTCTCTCTTTCTCTCTCTCGCTCTGTCTCTATTACCCCATTTCCAGCGCTGCGTTTCGCGATGTCCACCGGGCTTACAACCCGTCGAACTCCGACGCAACGAGCTCTTCTGCCACTTCAGACCCCCGCAAATTCCTTCGAAACTTATGGTAAATACAGTATGATTTTTACCACGGTTTTTATTCAGAAATTGAGATTCACCCAGCGCTACAGCGGCATTTCGAAGAACAAGGCCGACATCACGATGCTGGGCCACTTGCTCCTCTACGTGGCACTTCAATTTTTGTCGAGCATAGGTAGGACTTGGCGGCTCACTTCCTCAAATGGTTTCTGCTAGCACCCTCTACGTTCAATCACGTTTTGGGGGTCAAAGGCCGCAAAAACTATGCAACACTGAAGATGATACGCTACGGGGTTTTCTGGGTCGTTTCAAACTAGAAATACCCCTAAGCCCCCCACGCGCTAAAAGTGCAGTACCAGATACCTCGGCTCCATTTACAAACGGTCTCTGCTAGCTTGTCACGACCTGCCATTAATGCGCACATTTCCAGCCGCCCTACTCTTCTCCGGCCCGGACAACGCCGAGCTGATCCCGTGGAACAAGGAGCAGTTCGTCAAAATTTACGTTTCTGCAATCTCGATCTTTAGCCAAATCCGCGCCCAAACCGCCCAAACGGCCAAAGCCCGTTTTCTGGCCCGAAGACGTGCACGATCCCGCGAGAACCTCAGCAGCGCGTCGAGCATGAAGAGCTCATCAATTGCTGATAAATTTCGTAGGGATTATTGCCGTAAACAGCTACGTTGGGTAATTTCTAGCTGCTGAAGTGACGGCGACGCGCAACCCAATGGCGACCAAGCGGCGTGTGATTATACGCAAAATTGTAGGTTTAAGGAAATGGGCTCGATTTTCGTGGTTTTAGCGACGTCCAAGAGGAAAAGCTACCCGAAACGTGGCCAGGAGGCAGCCGTCGTTTGACTTGAGATCAGGTTGGCTTTTTCTCTTCCGCTCTCTCTCCCTCTCTCTCCCTCTCTCTCTCTCTCTGCCCCGCTAACCCTTCTCTTTTAGCCGCCAGCTCGACCCAACTCTCGGCCGCCGTCGCCCCCACCCAAGAAGAAGGCGCCCCCGGACCCAAACATCGTCGAAAAAACAAGTCCAAGGAGCCGACCAAGGGCAAGCTGACAAAAAACATGAAGAGGAGAACGAAGAAGATGTCCCAAGAAGCCGTCTCCCTGGCCGCCACCTCGCTTACCGTAGTCTCCCAGCAGCAACCCCGCGCCTCCAGCCTTTTCCACGCCCTCGGCCGTCCCTCCAACCGCCACCCCGGAGCCGTCGAAGAAGGGACGAGGCGACTCGGCGCCCTCGGCGGCGAGGGATAGTATTCTGGACGATACGCCGCTGGTTGGTACAGTTATTTTCGCTGAACTTGTTCAAGGTTCAACCTTTATTCGTCTATTTTCAGTCCTCCCACCTCGACACGACGCAAAGGCCCGGCCGCCGCTCACCGCAAGTCACCCAGGCCCTGCTTCCTCAGCCAGCCGCTCCGGCTCCGCTTCAACCTTCTCGACCTCAATCCCCGCGCCAACTTCCGCCTCTCCCTCGTCTCCCATCTACCGCTGGCGTTGCCGTGACGCAGCCTACGGCGCGACGCCTACGATCTAGCGGCCGTGTGAGCAAGGAGCAGACGGGAAAGGTGGGTGGATTCCAGGTCTTCCCAGATTTTTTGACTCGCACTATAGGTGAGGAACATCAAACTTTCATTTCAGAAAACAAAATCGCCGGCCGCTTCACGGGCCAACCGCCAGCACCTCAGCCCCAAGCAGGTCACCCAGCAGGAGTCGAAGTACACGCCGGTCGTGCCGTCGGATAGTGGAAGGGGCCGGGATGGAAATGTGAGTTCCGGATGTAGCTTAGGCTTACAAGGTTTTGATAGACTTCAGTGAAAACGAGATTGCAACTGCTATCGCGCAAATTACCTTCCAAAATTCCTTAATTTCAGTCAAACCCCGAGCAGCCGCCGAAGCAGCACTGAGCATCTACCGTCGAGCAAAATTTCAACACAACAATCACCGCCGCCCTCGCCAACCACCACTTACATTATCACATCCCGATTTGTCTGTGAATTTCCTCTTTGTTCGGAATCTCATGTTCGCGTTAACTGTCTTGTTTTGAACCGAATCGCGTGAGGTGATATGAATAAATGGGTGATGTCAAGGAGGATTTCTGAAGCGCGATGCAGTTAAAAAAATAAACAAAAGGAAGCAGAATCGGCTTGCTTGCTAAATTCTTCTTAATTAATTAAATTTAGAGTGTTTTTACATTATTTTTCGGCAAATTTTCGCCGTATTTATTGCGATAGTCAGACAACCATCGAAGTTTGTAGTACCCTAAATTTGTGCAAAAAAACATACTCTGATAAGCGTTGAAAGGTATAAAATGGAATAGTTCGTGTTCTCCTCGAGATTACACGCCCGAAAAGCGATCATCTACAAAAATCTTGGTCACTATTCGCGCATTTTTTTTGGGACCTGAACCCGCCCGACTTTTTGAAGAGTCACGAACCGGTCCCACCTGTGTCATCTCCACTGTTTTGTTTGATTGCTTTTCTGGGGCCACACGGGGCTGAGTCAACCCTTTCAGGCTGCTCGTCATTTCCCGGACCAAATTCCTTTCCCAAAATTCGGGCGTAAAATCTATCCAAAAATCGTTGATGCGGTATCTGGCCTCCTTGATTTTCTCCTTACCCTTCCTACTTTCATTATCGAGCGCCGAGTGCGGGTGGTTGCCATTCAGCAAGTGTCTGTACATATCGCTACACATTACGAATTCGAGTTATGAAGCTGAACATGAGAGGGTTACGGTAGGCTTAGCTTTTTCTTGTTTGTTGTTTTTTTTTGCTTTTATCGACGTTTCTGTGTGCCACCTTTTAGCGAGCAATTTTGCTGTCGATATCCTTCTAATCTCTTAAGTCCTTTCTCCCTAAGTCCTAATTGGAAAATTCCTTAAGTACTAATTGAAAAACCATCAACAAAATCAGCATACGAAATGCAAAAATTTATTAAATTTTACCATCGTTTTCTCTCTCAAAATCTTGGATTTAAAGTGTGACCGAAAGTAGGAAATCTCGAATATTTAATTTTGCTATTGCTTTTCCTTTAAAACAGTTAAATTAGCTTCAGGGAACCCTTAGGAAATCAGAATCCACAGACTCATAGTTTCAACCGATTATTTTAAAAAATTTAGGGGGACGAGAAATACCTAGTCCACCTCAAAGAAAACGACACATTCCACAACGATGATATCGGCTCGGAAGGGGGGAATATGTACGGTAATCGGCAGATCGTTTATATAGAGCCATTTTTATAGACGGCTCTTCTCTTCTGATAGCCTCTAGTGATGTCTATGAATCGCTATATAACGATTTCTACTTTAAGTTTTATTTGTATGCAAATTATACGATTGGCGTAAGTAGTGTCATTGCGTTTTCTCTTGAAAAATGTGTTTTTTAGGAAAACAAGATGCGATGCCTAAAATTTGGGCGCCAGTGGGCTTATGGTCCAGCTAAGAAAGGTAGGTAGTATTGAAAGTTATAAAGAGTTACAAAAAAAGAAAATTTTTAAGTAGCCTCGGCCTCGATCGGCTATACTTCAAACTCGGCGCGAATTGTTAAAATTAAATGATACAACGGATTTGGTATTTTTTTAGAGATCACTGGCCAATTCCATGTTTTCCCAAATTCCCCATTTTGCCGCCTTGATTTTTCGTTGGTTGAAGATGGGAAATCAACCACGGGCCATTCCATGGAATGTGATTCGTGTTGCCTCTACGAGCATTGTGGCAGCGATGGAATTCCGAAGACTGATTGATCCTTATTCAGAAGAAATTCTATGTAATAAAATGTGTTTCTACACAATCAGTCGAGACAAATTATTCGAAAAATGGTCTGTGAAAATCTGACATCCACACGGCGAGCAGAATGTTCATGAATTTTCGCGCATTCGAGAAAACGTTTTTACTAAAGAAAGTGACGATTCCAAAATTTTGAGGCGGACAACGTGTACGATTTTTACAATTTATGGTTTTCGGCGCCACCGGCCAGGATTTACGCACGCATAAACTTCGGGAATGTTCGTTTCCGGGGGCGGGTTTTTATGCAAATGCGGCCCTTTTCGTAAGGTAAAAAAATATTTAAAGGCGCAAATGTTTTGGACGCATCATCCACGGATTATGGTGATGCTCGTTCAAATTCTATTCTTCACGCTGGCCACCGTTAATACAGTCGCTGCGGAGAAGAAATATTGCGGGGTTATCGGGGGTTCCGTTCTGTGCTGGCATGTGGACGTCGTGCTGAACGCTTCGTACCCAGATGACCATGAGCCGTACGCGGTAGGTGGTCAACGGGAGTGCAAATCAAAATTAGAATGCTTGAGATCGGATCGAAAAGTAAAAAACCAGTAAATACTGCCGAAGAGTACCAGAAAAAAACGTTTCGTTGTCAAAAACATAAAATCGTCGATGCGGATTATACTGTTTCAATAAATAACCTAACCTAACAACCTATAATAAATACGGTACTGGAAATCCGCTTTTTATAGCTAAATCACTCGTTTTCATAGCATTTACGCTGTTTTTATGTACAAACGTTTACAAAAATTAAATAGTTTTTAAAATTTTTCGATTTTTTTTTGCTGAAATCAACCGAAAAAATTACCAAGAAGATCAACGTTTTCGGATTTTCAAAATTTTTGTAAATATATTTGTAACTTTCCAGGAATCAAAAACTAATAAAAACATACGAATACAGAATTTATTATTAACGGGACATCATGAAAAAAAAACAAAATTAGTTTGCTTTTTCTTGCAGAAACACCCCGCCCCGCTGCTACCACTCAAGTAACAATTTTTCTTCAGGGTGACGCCTTTTATAAGGTGCAGGTCAACAAACGTCATTGGTTGGAGAATAGGCACTACGAGAGCTGCACGGCCAGGATGTACGGTGAGTACAAAGCAGGCGTACGGTATGACTAACGGTAAGAATTTATTTTACCCCCTCCCTCCGCCCCCGCCCCACAGCCGAAAAGTCTCAAAGTTTTCGGTGTTTTCGCTTATTTTGTCCGGAGTTTTGCAAAACCAATCGATAGAGCATCGAAAAACATACTAAAAGTCTTAATTTGAGCCTACAATAATGTAAAATAAAAAAGTTATAGCCAAAACATTCCGGCTGGGGGGTACATTAAAGGATAGCTTGACTAACCTGCGCCTCCCACCCGCGCGCCACCTGGCTCACTATGCCCCCGCCCCAACTGCATAATTAAGCCGTATTACAAAAATCGACTCTTTCCCCTTAAATGTCGTTTTTGAGTTCTGTTTTTGATAATTTTCGACTCGGAGGGTCGATTGGCCTATAGAACTCCCTCAAGAAAAGCAGCGCTTTGACCAAAATCCCGCTTCCCCAGGAGACCTTGATTTTAGGGACTGCCCCATGTATATTGCACGGCACCGACGCCCACGACCCCGCCGACGATCAGTTCTACCTGAAATTCTATCTAAGAGCCAAATATACTCAGGGGGTGGTGTGCTGTGCTCGTTCGAATACCGATGGTTTCAGGCTAACCAATTCCGCTGCGTGCACTTCCACGACCCGCTTCATTTTGGCGCTGATCTGAGGGCAAGTGCGTGGTCAAACGCTTTTACTTTTCTCCCGTCTTTTCCGTGGACGGGAAAGGCACGGATTTTTCAGGCTGTGTCAAGATGTTCTTATGAAATCTTGGGAAATCTATCCATAGTTTCAACCGTATTTTTTATGCCAGAAAATTTTTTATGTCATACTTTTTCGTACAGAAAATATCTCGCTTGTACTACTTTTTAATTTTTGTCGATTGACGTTTCCAAAAAATCTAAAACCTCAAAAAATTGCCTTCCCCATTCTATTTTGCGCTTGGGCTCAGGCTTGGGCTAAGGCTTAGGCTCAGGCTTAGGCTTACGGTCTGCTTCGGCCTAGCCTATGCTTAGGCTTGGGCTTGGGTCGGCTTACAAGGAGACGTTTTTTGGTGTGAATGGAGTTCTGAGTGGAAACCAGGCCTATTTTGTGCAGAATTTTGCGCTGATTCCGAATATCTTTTCCATTTCTGCTAAATAGCTCGATTTCAAAAGTTATAGCAATTTTAAGATCATTTTAGCCCAAATTTTCCCCTCTTTAGGGACCATTATATTGCTTTTCCTGGCTGTTGTTCCAAATATAAATATCGTCACCGTATTCAGAAAAATTTTCTCTATCGAATGAGCTATTTAACTCAAAATTGTTGAAAATCGAAAAAAATCGACGATACTTGGTATGGACTGCGATTTTTGTATGGAAATGGTGAAAAACAGACTATTTCTCACCCCTGTAAGCCATCGTCGATCGGCAGTAGCGCACTAATCAAATATACCATTCGAATCAAAAAAAAAATTTTCTACAAGATAGGCTACTTAAAATAAATTAGAACATTATAACAAAAAAGTAGCACAGCATAGCATATGGCTACTCTGGGCCTAAAAATTATCTTAAAATAGCTGTAACTTTTTAAATCGGGCTATTTAGCAAAATTGGAAAACAGCATCGGAATCAGGGCAAAATTCTGCACAGAATAGGCCTGGTTTCAACTTAAAACTCCATTCACACTAAAAAACGTCTCCTTGTTAGGCTTAGGCTTGGGTTTAGGCTTAGCTTAAGATTAGGCTTATCCTAGGCTTAGGCTTGGTTTGGGCATAGGCTTTGGCTTAGCTTCGGGTTAGTTTAGGTTTATTACGCTGCCGCTTAGGCTTACAAGGAGTGCTTTTTTGAGTCATTGGCAAAGCCTTACGAGAACTCATTCGATAGAGAATTCGATTCTGAACAAGATCCCGTTGTTCTTTTTGCGGAATGGCTACCTATCTATTTTATAAAATCTTAAAACTGCACCCAAAAGCCTCTCTTTTTTGCTCAAAAAGCACTCATGGTAAGGGACAGTCACTAGTATTTTAATTTCATAAAATCAGGGATAGCCATTCCGCAAAAAAGGACAACGGATCTTGCTCAGAATTAATTCTCTATCGAATGAGCTAGGTCTCGTAAGGTTTTGCCGATAACTCATTAAAAGCACTCCTTGTTAGGCTTAGGCTAGGCCCCAAAAAAACTGATTTATCCCGGTATCATCACAATCTTTAGCACGTTTTCGGATTTTCAGACATTACCGGCAGCCTTCACGTATTTCCCGAGCATCCGTTCTGCCGCTTCGACTTCCAGCTGACCGGCGGCGACAAAAAGACGTCGGGCACGAAGCTGTGCGAGTCGTGCTGCGTCTGGGAAGTTTGCAGCTTTGGTGACATTCCGAATGTCGACCTCAAACTTTAAAGCTTTTGCTCTACGCTTATCTCAAAGCCAGCCGCCTTTATTTTGCCTGATTTTTATTGTGTTTTTTAAAGTAATACGAAATAAAGGAATTGTTTATAGCTGGTCGTCCGATTTGCTGTAAAAAATATAAACCACCAATAATCAATAACATTTAATGACAAGAATGAATAAGAAAGTAAAATGACATAAAGAGAAAGATAAAATTCTGATGAATTTCGGTCAACGCAGCAAAGCAATAAAACCTTCAATAAATTTTCTTGAGCCGTAAATACTCATGAAAAGCCGTGGCCTGCTTTATCTTCGCTTTTACGCTAAAACACAGTTTTTGGTCTTGCTCAGCTATTCCGTCTACAAAATGCTCCCCAGCTTTCTATGGTTTATGTTAGCCGTATTTGCGCAAAATTTGGAGGCCGGATTTAATTGTGGGGAAAGTTGGATTCCGCTTCTTCCCGAGACACCTTGCTATGAGGTTGATATCAATATTACTAGCGCTTCTTACGAGAAAGGACACGAGCCGTTTGAGGTCCGTAAATAAATAACTTATTTAAATATTTTCCAGCAGAAAAGTTAGCTTAAAATCACTGAATTTTAGGGCGACGCCGACTACACGGTCCAATTCAACAAGCACAACGCGGTGAAGAATGCTCGATTCGTGCTGCAATGGGAAGATGTACGGTGCGTACAATTGGCTTTTTTTTATGCTAATTTACCGTGGAATAACTGATTTATAGGAAACCAGCCGCTTACAGCGGCTTTGCCGCTGCAAGCGGCTGGATTTCGGGCTACCCCTTCCGCTCCCTCCCCCTCCCTTTGTGATGGCTTTCGATACTTTAAAGGGTTTAAATAATGAATTAAAATGATTTAAAAGTATTAAAACAACTGAAAAAAGCGAGCTAGGCGCGGGAAAGGGCTTGGGGAAGGGGCGGGGGAAAGGGGGCGTGGCCTCCCGGGGAGAGGGCCCCCCACTCGTTTTATTAAGGCGCCACTTTCAAAGTTAATTATTTTTATTTAAACAAAAACTTTTTCATAATTTTTTGATCATTTAAGGGGTTTCTGACTACGCTCTATCCAAATCCGAAGAGACCTAAGCTCTACCTCCTTTCCCCTTCGAGTTATAGTTTGCTTCTGACCGACAGACAGACAGACACCACTACTGAATTCTTATAGTTGATACCTCCTGCCATATGCATGTGTCGGCCGATCTGCCGCCACGCAAGGATGATGTCTACTTGAGGTTTTACGTCTACGCAAAGTATACGCCTGAGGTGGGCCGGAAAGAGAGAGAGAGAGATAGCGCTAGAACAATGCAGATTTAGCCATCGAGGTACCGTTGCGTGCAATTTCACGAGCCTCTGCTGTACAGCCATGACCGGAAGTCGAGTGGGCTCTTTGTTTTCAACAAGTTTTTTGGCTCTTTTTATTGTAGTGCGATTGAAAAATAATTAAAGGAAATTTTCCGGAATAAGATTGGCTCCTTAATTTTTTAAATACAATAGATTAGATTTGTACAATACCAAATTTTGAGCAATCATCGGCAGCCTACAAGTCTTTCCCCAATGGCCGTTCTGCCGTTTCGACTACGAGGTTCAGGGAGGTGACAAGAAAGTGAACGGGACGATCATGTGCGACTCGTGCTGCAGTTGGGAAATGTGTGACGGGGACAGTATTCCCAGAGTTGATAATTGATTTAATTTATCTAATTTTACACGCAAATCGACAATTACAGATTAATACACAATTTAATAAGTGGAGATTTCAATATATGGGGCTTTTGCAAAGATTTGAAATAGTTTTCGCGAGATTTGTTTTTGTGACTGCGAAATACTGGTGTTCCAAAAATCTAAAGTTTCGGCAGTATGCATTTCGACGTTGGATATGATTAGCTTTGTTCGTTTTTCATATTTACGAGTAAGTTCGGAATGCAAAATAAGTTAATACGAGATCGGATACGTGAATGCGAAAAGCTATCATGCCTCCGACTTCCGGATAAAGAACGAAACACTTTCATGTAGTAGGTAATATCTAGTTGCCGTTTCTTCAAACGTCCAGTATCGAGCCGTGAAGCGCAGCCGTAAATTCTCGAGGGCGTTCTGGGCCCGATGGCCGGTTCTCAGGTCGTTGAGCAGCGTCTAAAAACTCGCAAAATTTTGGTGTTTCGTGAACCAAAGTTGTTAGGTTTGCTAAATGTTGCTGAACACGCAGCGGGTTGCTTTGCGGTTCACAGACTGAGAATTACATGCCGGTGATATTTTTCTTACAATTAAAACCCACCACCGTGGAACCAGCAACCAGCGTTTGGCGTGGATGTTTGTCGATGATCACCCTGAAACAGAAATTTAATTACATAAACCTCATAACCGTGTTCAATCGATGAGATTCCCAAAGAATCTTTGCTAGCTAGCCTTGTTTTTGGGTTACTTTCATAATCCTGAAATTCATATTTCGGAATTCATGATATAGCAATTTCTCAAAGAATTTTCGCTGGCTAGCCTGCTTTTCCAGCATGAACTCGAATTCAAAGCTTACTCCTTCAAGCCAGTCGCTTCCGTCAAATCGACAACCGGACGATAGACGCCAACCCTTCGTCGATTGGGCACATCTGCCGGTACGCCGCCGGGGACAGCCCAATAGATGCTCAGCCGGTGACACGTTTCCGGTACGGGCAGAAAGTCGTTCGTCGACCCGGCCACGTTCGTCATATTGATGATCTCGGCACGGGAGTTCCTAGGAAATTTTTTTGACCAATAGCAACTCGTACATGTCTCAAAAAGACAGCAACGCGTCCACTACAGGTACGAGCTGCAAACTCACAACATCATGCTTACTTAATCATCGTCTGCACTTTCGCGTCCAGCCGGGTATCGTAGATGTGAATGACCTTTGCCCGAAAAGCTCCACGATCAGCCATTTTCAAGAATTCGTCGCCAATTTGGATAGCCACGCGCTTCGCCTAAAGTGTGGTGATTTAAAAGGATAAAAGGTTCTGGTTCGTTAGCGGGGGAGACTCCCTTGAGGAGGGTCCCTATAGTCGCATGGCCTTTCCCGACAAACACTCCCCCCGCTAATGAATTTGAACCCATTGAAAATCAAAATGAAATCATGTGAATAGCTAATCGCAACTCTTACCGTTAGTACCAGTAGATTGACGTAAATCGTATTCCTATGGCCACAGGCGAGTTTTTCAAATTGTTTCCAGGTTTGTGAACGTCCATCGATACTGAGGCGGGTGATGTTCTGAAAGACTTGACGTTATTTTTCAAATTTAGCTTTTACGTTTTATTCGTTAGGTTTCATTCTTTATTAGCTATTTATGGTTTTTGAGGCTCTTTAAAGTATGAAAGTATTACCTCCGACATGCGGCTGAGTTCATCCACTGGCCTTCGCATGATTGACATGGCGAAAAAATCGAAGACTGTCCGCTCGTTGTTGATGTAGTGGTCAACGAAGCTGTGTAGATTTCGAAGTTTTAAGACATCCTTGGTCGGCATAAAATCGAGAATACGGTAGAGCACGTCAGCGGGGAGGTCAAGTAGAGGTAGGCCATCCGGAATGGAGTCAGTTTCCATAGCGGCTAAAACAGCCGTTGGGGATTACGATACGCATTAATAGTTTTCCAGAGGACATGACACTTTATTTTCAATATTCCATACCACCAATTGTTAGTAAAAATCAGATATCGAACGGTCTTCACGAAATATTTATTCAGAAGAGATCAAACATAAAAAATTGACGAGCAACTTGAGGAATCACAGAAATAATGTCATCACAGTCACCATGGTTACGACGCCACTTCCGCCGATTTTTCAATGAAAAACGAGACATTCTGATGTAGCATATAATATCGATGGTCTGATTCGAGGAATCTCCAAACCGGGATGCCTATAAAAGTTTCGTGCAACTCGTCGATCAACGACTGCTTGGCTTGATCAATTTTTATGCCGAGGCGAAGGTTATTGAACGCGACCTAAAAACTTAATAGTTATGGTTTGTTTTAACGAATGGCTATCAATATACTTTATTATTTTTGTCGTATACCTCTGGATTTAGTCTGATTTAATAAAAAGATCTTTTCTACTACCCAGCCGGATCGAAAAATCGCTAATGCTCCCAAACCGGTAAAAATCGGACGGAATCCGTTTTCGAATACAAAAACTGTAAATCTAAATTTTCTTTTTCGTGTTATTAACAGCTTTGGGCAGCCTAAGAGTAGTAAAAACGACAAAATTGTTTCATAGAAAATACGGTAAACGTTTTTTATAACCTACCATCGCCAAGGGTGTCATCATTCTCTTCTGCTCCCGGCAGTTGATTTCGATTCTGAAAAAAAATGAATTTTCTAATCGTAAAATTTCGTAAAATTCGTAAGATAAGAGTTCCTAGATACCTTCACTTACTTTTCAAGCCCGGTGGCTTTTGTCAAATCCACGACAGGAGCGACTTTATATTGATTCGGCTCTTCAAAGTTGGGCGCCCGGCGGTTCCAGTAGATGGAAAGGTTTCGGCAAGTTTCTGGGACTGGCAGGTACTCATCAGCCGAGCCGGAGGTATCAGTTACGGTGATCGTTTCGGGGCAGGATTCACTGAAGCATTTCCTTGGTAAGATTTAGTTTTGCCTAAACTTTTTGTAAGTAAATCTAAACCTTTTGCAAATGATGATTCAGTTATTACTCACGCCACTAACGCCATCACACCCGGATCCGTGTTGGTACTTGAGAGCTGGATCTCGCGGGCTCGAAATCGGGCCTGGTGTGCCATCTCGAGGAATTTGTCGGGGACCTGGACCGCTTTTCGGCGTCCCTAAAATCGGCTTTTAGACCCAAACTTGCGAAATAGCGGAAATCGGGATGTTCCGGTTTTCAATGCTTTTACCTTAACAAAAATAGCTTTGAATTTAAATATCAATATAGAGGATGAAAAGACAATTCTTAATTTAGATATCAACACAATGCGCTTACCGACAGATAGAGCAAGTTGACTTTGAAGGTTTTTCTCTGGCCGCAAAACAACCCTCGAAATTGCTCCCAGGTAATCGGGCTCCCATCGAGATCAACCCTTGTAAGGCCCTGAAATTATTAGATTCGGATTTTAATGTAAAGCAGAAATGAAATACTTATTACACTATTAAATACCATGACAATAATCATTGCGGAGTTACCATAGGCTGAACAATCCCGAAACCCACCGGAAAATCCGACCGCCACACGACCATCGTCTCGAATCGGCTCCGACTCTGCACGACATATCTTCCAAAGAAGCTGTGCAACGTCATTAATTTCATTACTCCTGGGCTCTCCATTTTTTCGAGGATTTGGTAGCGAAGTTTAAACGGTAGATTCATGAATGGGAGGGGCTCGAATTGTTTTTGAGGCCTTGGCTCAACTTCTTCTTCGATTTCAACTTCATTTGGCAGCTCTTCTTCCGCTTCTTCCGGCCCGGCAGAGATTTCCATGGTCGGTATTAGTTAGGCGCAAAATGGGTATTATAGCATTTGCTAAATTTTAATACGAGAAGAAGAATTGGTAGATAAGGGAACCCGATTTCGATTACGCTATTGTTTTGGCCGGGGGTGGGCCTGTAGTTTGTAGCAGGTGGGGACGGCGTGGTCCAGCTGGTTGGAGGGCTTCCATGTCCAGATTTTTAGATCGGCCTTTATGGATTGAGGTCGAACTTCAAGTGTTTCAGATGTAACTGGATCCTTAGAATATTTGAAAACGTACGGTTTTCGGATCCTTTTCCGGCATAATTACGCCCCAAAATCGTCAAAGAAAACAAGCTAACCTTTTTCGTCTGTTTTTTCGACAATAAACCATGCCTTTTTACCATGCTTTTGGATAGTTTTTGATCGATACATAGTGGTAAAAATACTTTTAAAGTCTTGAAATTCAAAATCTGCACTTTTGGCATTCTTCATGTATTTTTGCCAAAATTTCGCAAATTTATTTACATTTTCTGCAAGCTTTTGGTAATTACGACTGTTAGACAATGTTATAAAAATGGTTTTTTTCAATCTTTACATTATAAAAGAGTCATGAAGAGCCCGTGTTGAGCATAAAATCAACCACCGAAAGTTTATCATGCCAAAAAATCAAATCGATATCATTAACTTAATTTTTAATTTTTGGGATTTTCTTGATGCGAGATCTCGTCCGGTTTTTGGATCAAGAACATGAGCACGCCCCACTTGAATTCATATTGACGCGGGGTTTCGATGATTATCCAAGGCTGGGGGAGGATGCGACGCAGAATGGCGACAGCTTTTCTCGTAGACTTGCCAGCTCGCAGCTTATTTAATGCCATCTGAAATTGGAATATGAATATAGTAAAATTTTAGAAGCTCTGTTTTCTTTGTTGCCCCCCCCCGGCCAAAACCACCGAAATTTGAAAAGGACAAAAACTGACCATGACCGTGGGTGCAAACAAATCGTCGAGGTTCTGAACATCGTCTGCGACGCTGAAATTCAGAAATTCTGTTTTAACTGCCGGGTGTCATAACTATCTCCAATGCACAACAGCCAAACACGCAAAAATGAATACAAACTGTCTGTAAGCTCTATAGTCTAGGTCTTCACTTACCATTTCTTGAGCCCCGTCGCCACGGTCAAGTCGACGACCAACTGCTCTCCCCAATAGGAGGGCGGCAGATGGAGCTCCTGGCACGTCTCCGGAATATGGAGCTCGGCGACCGGCCGGAATGACGTTGCCCAGTGAATTTTCTCGGGGCAGGATTTCCTCAAAAAAAAAGCTGGGTTGTTAGCGGGCGGAGGAGAACAATTTTTTGCAGGTATCCCGTACGGAAAACGATTACGAAAATTGTCTAAAATTTTGAATTTTTAGTCAAAATTGTACGAACAACGACCATATATAGGCGCAAAATTATCAATTTTTTACATGGCATTCTTAACAGACAGAACTGAAAAATAGACGAAAAAATAAAGTCGGGCTTCCCCAGCTACAACCCCCCGTTAACAAACTAGTACCAAAAAGATTTGCACGATTGTACCACGGCTTACCTTAACAACCCTTCTACCACAGCCCCCATCTGGCCTCCGATGAACCAGATAGTCCGAGCGCGCAGTCGACCCTGCTCCACCATCTCGACGAATTTTTGGCCGTATTTGGGTTCGGCTGCTTCGGTCTAAACTGATGATTAACAATGAGCGCCAAGGAGCCTGCCCGACCCTAAGCATCAACACTTTGACATCGCATAGGTCATTTGGGCGGCACGCGATTGCTTCAAATTTCTCCCAGGTGCCCTTGGCCTCATCGATGGTGAGGTATCTCGGATCAGGTAGAAAAGTAGCTCCTGGAAATGGAATTAGCTCGGGCGGTCGACCAAAATTCAGCTAGAGAAAAGCTTACCACGAGAGAGAGAGCGAGAGAGAAGAGAGAAAGAGCGAGAGATTGAGAGAGAGCGAAAGAGAGTCAGACAGAAAGGCTAGAGAGATAGGGAAAGAGAGAGTGAGAGAGATAGAAAGATAAGGAGATACAAACAAACAGTCAGCGAAAGATAACCATAGCAAAATACTGAAGTGGGAGGTAGTTTGATAAGAGAGAGAGAGAAGAAGCAGAGAAAGAGAAGAGAGCCAGCGAAAGTGGGAGAAAGAGAGCAAGAGAGAGCGCAAGAAAAACAGGGAGAGAGAGAGAGAGAGAGCGAGCGAGAGAGAAGGCCGAGAGAGAAAGAGCGACAAATAAAACGCGGTTCGCAAAATACTTACCTCGCCGATCCTAATTGAGAAAAATCGGTGCTTCCGCCTCCATTGCTCATAGCCCTTTGCAAATTGGCTGCGCGTCTCTTGCAATTTCACCATCTCCCGAAACGGCAACGCATCCAAGATCTGCCATCTGAGCTGCAGCGGAAAGTCGCTCACCGGCAGGCGTTGCAGCTTTTTAGGCGGAGGGTTCCCATTTGTCAGCGCTGGTCGAGGTTTCGTGCATATAGCAGGATTGGGTTGATAGCTAAACTGCGGCGCGCAGTTCGGATATTTCGGATAGTACGTTGAGTGTAGTGAGAAGGGCTTGGGTCCAGGTTGCCCGGAACGATCAGTACGCGCGCGATAGAGCCGTTGCCGGGCCGACATCGAGCTGGGTCGGCGCTCGACAGGGCGGTGAATTTACAGCACGAATGAAATTAGCCTTCCAGTTAGAGAACCGACGAAAAAATTCGGTTGTGTGGCGGTGCCTAAGGGTCGAGTTGCATGCGATCGGCCCCAAACGACACCTACACCATGCCCTGGGGCATATTATTGACCTATTCATATTGACAAGATGGGCGAGTCCCTCTCTCTCTCTCTCTCTCTCTCTCTCTCTCTCTCTCTCTTTCTCTCCACCCTCTCTCTCTCTCTGCTTCTGTTTCTCTCCGGGTGCAATGTAAAGTCTTCAAATTCCATATTTATTTACTTTCAATGCTTACACATCCTTTGGTTTAGTAACGAAAAACATGAAGTCGTGGCTCATTACATAATTTCGCGTACCCGTCTCTTCACATTCCCAACATGAAACGAGGCGGGGAGCACAGGTTTCAATCTCTGAGCGCAACGTTTCGAGAGCTTGGTATGTAGAGATGCCGGCCCGGAGGTTGTTGAGGGCATTCTATAATTGCTCCATAGGTTTTTCCAAGCTCTAGAGACACCAGCCTTTGCCTCGGCAGTGAAAAGCATCTGGTAGGATTCACCGTTGAAGTCGAGACTAAAAAGTACGTTTGATGAGCTTTACAGTAAAAAAACCAATAGTCTGAATATTCGGACCTTTCAAGCCCAGTGGCGGCAGTCAAATCAATGACAGGACACTCATTTTTCAGACTCGGGATGGGCGAGGAATTTCGAGCGGCCAAATCCCGGGGCACCCGCAATCGGCGGCGGGCAGAACTGGAGCCGTGGATGCTGAAGATGCTTGCGACGGAATTGCTAAAATGGGCCCTTAGAGAAACGATTTCTAAAAAATCTGTAGCTCCAGACCTGTTGAGACGATTGGTGAAAGTCAAATTGAGGAGGTTTGGGTTCAATTCTAGGTTTGCAGAACAGCGTATTGCAAGTGTTCGACACGTGGAGGGTACTGGCAAATAAAGATTCGGAGAGCCGGACACAACATCGATTTCGATGGACTTAGCGCCGGAGTTGCTTAAAGATAGTTAGTTAGTTAGTAGCAGGAGACCGATAATGAGAGCAAGAGAGAAATGGGGAGGAGAGAGTGAGAGAGTGCGTGAGTGAGAGATAGAAGAGAGAGAGAGAGAGAGAGAGAGAGAGAGAGAGGGAGAGAGAGAAAGAAAGAGAAAAGGTTAGCAAAAAAAGAAGTTCGCGAGCCACTTGCGAAGGAGACTTACATGATTAGTGCCTGGATACTGCTATCAATAACGACCTGTGAGAGCTGAATTTGGGTCGCGCGAAACCGGCCTAACAGAGCCGTTTCCCGGAAAGCTTCTCCGAAATTGTAGTATTCTCGCTAAAACTTAAATGGATATACGGGGGATCAAGTGTGGAGATGATTATGCCTGTGTGCGGGGCCATAGGAGGGAAAGTTGCCCCCCCCAAAAAAACCCGGCGGAAGGCCGATAAGTTCATAAGGGTCCCTGAAGATTTTTTCGTTAAAATTTCATGGCTTTTCATAGCTGTTCATAGCTTTTTTAAGACTAATTTTATTGCCACGGACCTTTTGATTGCGCTGATTTTGGGTGTTTTTATAAATTTTTTCACGGTTGATCCCATTTTTCCTGCCATTTTCCAGACGGGGCAAGGAGTGAAAAGCACGAAGCGGTTTTTCGAACTCGATCAAATATAAAAATTGTGTTTGTGTGTATATTTGTCGCAAACTAACCGCTATCCATGTGGTTGGCGGGAGTCTCGTGCGTCGCGATCGGCGCAACTGTTTCTGGGGCCAGCGTCGTGGTCGACAAGCATCTCTACTAAGTGGGAGGGCCGTGCCAAATCGGGGGATTTCGCCTCTTCTGATTTCAGAAACGGTCTGTTGTCGCATTACGTACAGCCTGGCTAGAATTTCTCATCATAAAAGGCCCGCGTGCTTAAGAGACATAACGTGTTTCCTGTAATTTTACAAAGCGAGGCGCCACGCCCACACTTTTAATTAAAAAGTATATTTATGCAAAATATTTGTCGGCTTTAAATCACTAAACCTCGGCGTTTTTCGATCCAATCTTTTTGCAGTTTTGCAGCGTTTTGCAAGACCATGCAAAACAACGTTATTTCCAGCCTTGACGCCCCCGAGCCCTAACATAAAAAAGCAACTTATGGGCTGCTTACCAACTTCTGTTGTTTGATACTGTAGGATCGATATCAGCGTGAATTCGTCGGCTCGGCGCTCATGAATGGCATAGCTGTTGAAAAAGCTGTGCATATGCCGTAACTTCCGCACGTCCCGCAAAGGCAGCGGGTCCAGTATCAGGCGTAAAACATCGGCCGGCAGGTCGAGAAGTTTGGGCGGATCTGGGGCGGATTCCCGTATTTTTAGCTTTCCCGTTTCGGCCATCCCAGAGTTACCGCAACAGCTGCAAACTCAAAAAATGTTTTTGTATTTTTGCAAAAAATTTCCAAACAAACCAATTACGATTGAATGAAATAAGGAACGAGGGATCCAGACGTTGATACGACGACAATAAATAGTAGAACAAAAGGTAAATAAGTTAATTATGGGGCGCCGTTATAGATTAAAAGTCTCCTGAAATTAGCATAATTAAAGGGATCGGCAAGGCACGTCACGATACACGACCCGTGACCCCATTCATGTGCCAATTTTTGCGATCTGATACGCCACAAACGAACGCACGTTGCACGCCACGGTTGCATCAAAATCTTAGGGTTAAGTGAATTAGTTAAAACCAGGGTTGAAAAACCGCTTCGCGCCTTTTCAACCCTGGCCCCGTCTTCTCCGATGTTATTGTTCGCTTTGCATAATTTTCCCGGATTCAGATGACGAAAAATGAAAAATGCACTTGCCGTCCCTTTCTATAGGCTCCCGCGACTTCCGGTGCATGCTAATTTGATCCTAACAAAGTGGGGTGTCCGATTTTTCATGAAAAACTTAATTTTAATGTCGAAAACATCATATTTTGTAAAATCTAATATGTGTGCAGTCATCTCCAGCCCATTACGCACCTAATGACGTATCGAACATACCCCTAACTACTTCCCTTCTTGAGATACTACTGGAACACGGTGACGGAAGTTGCATGCAAATGCACACACACACACACAGACACTATTTTTTTATATATAGTAGGATATTGTTCAGAAAGATTAGCAGATAAATATAGGTGCGAAACAACACCGTGAATGGTTGAAACGTACCGCTTTTCTGTCGTGATAGAGATAAGAACTCCTCGGCGCCTGCTCGCTATCTTCGTCAATTCGGTATTATTCTCGCGTAAGCGTAGATTAGCGCTAGGCCACTGCCCACACCGAACCGGTTCCTGAGAACCAGTTTGGCAATATCGGAACGCGAAACCACCGTAAATTTCGACACTATGAAGTTTCGACATTATGACATTTCGACGATATAATTTTCACATTTTAAAGGATTCCTAACAATACGCACCTGAACTGGAGTTTTGTACAACGGCGCATTCATACATTTTTTCCATAGTTTACGACAAGGATGGCGTGCCGGGCGTCTTAAAAATATTCAAAACAATGCTGGAATAAATTTGCGTCGTTGAGGGGGCTTGGTTATTTATAGGGCCCCTGGAAACACTTTTATCCTAAAAATGTTCGTTCAACTTTTTGTGGCATTCGTCTATGGTCTAGTCCACGTCGATTGCATCAACTTTACAGCCGAGAATTACAAGGTTGCCCGGGACCTTAAAGGTATCGGACCTCGTTTTTGATTTTCTTTTGGGAACTACTTGGGTCGAAAAATTTTTAAAAATGGCATAGTGTGTTGATTGTGATGTTTTAAAAATCCCTGGCTCTCGGCAGCTACGCGGGGCACTAAAAGACAGACGCAGCAGCGTCGCAGCTTAGCGTGGAAATTAGGGTTTTTGGACCGAATCGTTTCCTATGGGTCGAGAAATTTTTGTTAATGTTGCAGTAAGTATTTTAATAGTTTTTTGGTAAATTGTAACTAGATTTCAACTTGAAAAACATTTTAGAAACATTAAACAAGCATTCCGTTTTGGAATTTTTATAGAAAAGAATTATTTTTGCACCTAAACACGACGATTTTCTGCCTTCCACTGATCACTCGTCAAGCTTTCCGCGCTTAGGCCGAGTAAAAGTTTATTCAAAACACTTTTTGTGTTTATGTATCGCTAAAAACCGGATCCTTAGAAAAAATAGGGCCTTGGATATTTCACGTGCAAAGTTGTGAAAAAAGATATCTAAATTCTTAAATTCTTAAGATATTCGTAAATTTCGGAATTATTAAACTTTCGCATAATGAAACTCCAACATAATGAAATTTCGGCCATTTGAAAATTTGACATTACGTAACTCGAAATTTTGAATTTTGACATTTTCACAGTAATCGCTTTAAGATGATCACCCATGCTGGCATGGCGGTGTCCCAAAGCCGTGCTTCTTCATCCACCTCAACATCGAAAACGCCAAATATGAGGAGGGGCACGTCCGAAAACCGGTAGCGTGCTTATCGGGTACCAGAAGCCTTTTAGGGTGACGAAACGTACAAAGTACAAATCAAAGAGAGCGACCCGGTGAGCAACGACGTGTACGCGGAATGCACGGGCAGCATGTACGGTACGTTGTGATAGTCTGTATCGTCAAATGCACAACCACAAAAAATAAAGTTTCAATTTTCCAGGTGGTGATAAGTGTAGTTTGAAGGCCCGAGACGAAGATGAGGTCTTGTTTAACATGTGGTACTTGAAATTCTACATCAACGCGGAGTACGCTAAAGGGGTGGGCGCGGAACGGGAAGGAATTAAAGTGGCTAGCAATTTTTTAGGAAGACCAGTATCGCTGCATTCTTTTTCCGTTTTCAAAGGCGCGCGGGAACGACTACATGCGGCGTGGGTATTGAGAGTTAGAGAGGAAGCAAGAGAGAGAGAGAGAGAGAGAGAGAGTGAGAGAGAGAGAGAGAGAGATAGCCAGAGTTTGATAGAGAGGAGGGAAAGACAGAGTTAGAGAGAAAGAGAGAGAGCGAGCCAGAGAGAGAGCCAGAGAGAGCGAGAGAAAAAGCGAGAGGGAGAGTGAGAGTGTGGGAGAGAGAAGAAGAGAGAGTGTGAGAAACTGCGAACGAGACAACGAGAGATACAGAGAGAAAGAGAGAAAGCGCGAGGGAGAGAGAGAGAGATGGAGTGAGATCAGAGAGAGTGAGAAAGGAATGCAGACAAATGAATATGACCCAGAAATTCGTTTTTCCAGTGATTTCCGCGGCGACCCTGACCGTAAAACCGGATGGGATTTGCTCGCTGCAGTACTACGATCGTGTACTCGATGAAACCCGTGAAGCTTTTTGTCAAACCTGCTGTTGGGTCGAAAATTGCGTTATTGGGACTGGGATACCATATGTGGACCTTGGTTAACTCAACATCATCTTTGATAAACATGTCGGCATTTTGAGGTTAAGGCTCCACAGAGAGAGAGTGAGAGAGAGAGAGAGAGAGAGGAGAGAGAGAAAGAGCGAGAGAAAGGGTGAGAGAGAAAGAAACAAGCCGTGTTTATTCGATGCGCATTAATGGGCGTAATCACAACAAAGAGATCGACATTGTAAATGTTCCGTTTGAATGGGTTAAAGACGCAAAACATTTGCACACATAGATACGAAAATAGCATAAGGCGTACGAGTAGCTTTAAAGGGATGGGTCGCGTGTGTCTGGCCCCGTTTTCGAGACTTCCGGCCCGGTGGATCCCCGTTCGGCGGCCTCGATTTGGGCGAGCTTAAAAAACGTGTTTCAAAAGCGATGTTACCGGATGAAAAATAAAAGATGAAAAGTTTATTTAAAGTCCAAGATAAAAATTGGCAAAATTACATAAATCAATCAACTTTACCATCGTCTTCTCCGTGGTGGTCGTCTTCGTGGGCGCGGTGCATTCCGATGATTTCGTGCGGGGCTGACGTGGAGGTGGAACCTGAAGTTTTATCAGATGCCTGGCCAACGAGCCAATACCGTAACTTCAGTCGGAAACTCGGGCATGGGCTCGGATGCCGGCTCGTCAGATCTCGCGTGTGTCTGCTTATCGGAGCGTTCGGTCTTCCAATCGGTGCCATGGTGTACGGTGGTGGGGTCATCTCCCGTTCCAGTACGAGTACCAGTTCCGGTGGCCGTGCTTGTGGCGGTCGTTGTCGTTTCACGTCGATGGCTGTCCTGCGTAGTCGACGTTTCCACTGAAAATGACGATGGCAAGCACTGCTGCAAACACCATAACTTGGAAAATCGTTGATTAGAAAATAGAAACTTTAAAGTTTTGAATCATAAACTCTTGGAAATTTAAAAATTCGAAAAAGAAACCATTTCGACAATTTTGTCGTCTTTCTCCAACAATGTAATTCGGTTGAGACGTCAAGTTCAGGACGTTAGAAGAAAACAGTTTAAAACCCACAAGTCGGACGAGTCGCCGTCACGGTAACCCTGTTGCGGCTCATCATACTTTTGAGGCGCATGTTGAGGCGAGCGCGGGCGCGCAACTGTAATTAGGAGCGTGACGTAATAAAAATAAAGGTGTGTACATTTGGTCGAATAATGTAGCGGTGGGAGGCCGAGCCGAAGTGCATGTGATGGGATGTTGAGGAAGAGGCTGAAAGATGGAGCAACTTCAGGATAAACTAGCTGAGGTCACTTGGGAACGTTTCTCAAAACTCTCTCTCTCTCTCTCTCTCTCTCTCTCTCTCTCTCTCTCTCCCTCCAAAAACTCACTACTCCGTCGCAGAATCGTCGGTAAAGTGGCAGTAACAAGGGCTTTTGGCCCATCCTTTGAGTCGCTGCTCTTGCTGCGTGTCCTCCGGATGTACACCCAATGTGACAACTCGTGCAGGGCAGCCGCACGTATCAGCTCTTCACTAGCCCACGGGATCAGATCGGCAGTATCGGCTTTGTCGACGGTGAAAGCGCCTGGAAATGCACTAAACGGAGAGAGAGAGAGAGGAAAGAGAGAGAGATAGCGAGAGAGGGCAAAAGAGAGAGAACGAGGAAGAGCAAGGGAACAAGAGCGCGAGCTAACGAGGAGCGAGAGACAGAGACAGAGAATGAGCGAGTGTAGAAAAATTATGATTTCCCACATCCCGTAATCGCAATCTGCAGCGCCAGGTAGAGCACGAGCAGTACCGGCGAGCCCATGTACAGCAGCGCCTTGGTGGCGATCGAGAACTCGTCTAAGTCGATGTTGCTCGCCCAGTAGTAGTCGAAAAGATGACCATCCTAGGAGAATCTTGGATTAAGCCAAAGGCAATGATCCTCACCGCAGTTTCCCGCTTCTGAAAACCGTCCCAAGTGCAGACGCGAACCCCCGGGAGGGGTTCGGTGATTCTGAAGCCGGGCTGGCATTGGCTGACGCATCTCTGAAGACGTTTTTTACGGATACAGGCGTGTTCCAAATCTTAGCTAGGTTGCCAGGTTATTGCAAATTTTTGCGCTTTTTTATTGAATAGCTTTTCTTCCTCAAGGATAACTGCTAGCATGCCCTTAACCAAATTTCTGCTTTTCCTACCTCCTCAGCATCCCTGACATTCCGGCACTTCTTGCACTGCTTGGACCCGTAGCCAATGCAGCCGATACACTCCGGATGACAGTCCCGACAGTACCCCTTCTGGTCCTCGAATTGGATCCTAAAGGAGCGTCCTAGCCAGAAATTCAATGCCGTACTCTGCGTGGCATCCATCCAGATGTAGCACATTCCGATAGACGTAGCAGACTTGGCGGGTGTCTTCTGAAGTAGAGCACAGTTACGGTAGCTTGGATTTCGAAGTCTTTACCTTCATTCGACCATCTGATATTCCAATACATCGGCACCTGAACGATGGTGGCGTAGTCACGGACGTCGCGCATACGGTAGAACTCGGGCAGGGTTTTTCGCTAAGAGTTGGTTTTTCGAATTTTCTGGTTTTGATATTTATTTCTTCAAATTTTTGTGGCGTTATTTGGTTACGCCGGGCAGGCAAGCAGAGATTCGTGGGGAAATTATATTTTCAAGCGGATTCCCTATGGACGTTTTGTGGAATCTGTCGTACCCGTGGCGGGCAACGCGCCCGGCTGTTATTCCGTTGTGTGGTGGATTCTGCCCTTGGAGTGAGTAAACAGCCTACGCGTTGCGTACAGCATTGTACCGTATTTTAATTTACGGCCATGCCTTGCTCGTCCCTTTAAAACACGTGGGAAAAGGCATGCTAGCAGAGATCCTTCCGGAACCGGTTCTATCTAAAAACCGACCCATCCGCACCGATCGCACCGAAAAGGCTCGTCGCAGAGGATGCAGCGCTTCAGTTTTCGATCCAGGAACGTTCCACTGGATTGAAAGTTCTATTTCCGGGCAAGTTGTAGTACTTTGGACAACGGTTGACGCAGTAGCCCCAGAGATCTTTCACGAAGCCGTCGAGGCAGGTGAGGCAGGGCTGGAAAATGAAATTTCAGGCCATAGAATGACAAAAATAAAAAAGACTCTCAATGCTGATTTAATTGTTAAAAGAAGACAACTATGAAAATGAACATTTATAGAATAGGTATGATGGTAATATTTACTTTAAAAGTATCAAGAACGAGCCTACATGAAAAATGGACGAATTTTGGCAATTCGCGAGACACTGGTCGTGCTGGCAGAAAGGATCGTAGACTTTCATTGGGTCTTTTCTAAAAAGCATTTTTCTAAAAAACACATTTTTATATTACCCCTCAAACGACGTCTCCCAGTCCGAGATATTTTCAAAGTCCTGGCTGAAGATGAGGGGGCTGACCTCATTCGAGTAGTCTCTCAGATCGCCCTGCAAAACCGTTACTTCTCGCGAATTTCCGGAAGTTCCGGGCCGTTCTGTAAGCTCTCAAAAAATCATTTACCGCTTGATTCCGGATTTCGGCGAGGGTCGATTCGGCGTTGAACCCTTGGCCATGCCAGTTGTCGGCCTCGAAACATTTTACCTAAAAATTCGGTTCCCGGTTTTTGCTGACATCCCTCACCAGTTTTCGCTTGGCCCCGATCATTCCGCAAAACCGACAAGCGTAGCACTCAAATTGGCTGGGCCCGACTAGGAAAGAAAATGTTTTCCAGGGGGGCTAGGAAGGCAAAGGAATGTTTGACCTGGTTAAATCGATTGTTCCGTAGTAAGCAAGCTATCCGAAACCTAAGCCTAAGCCTCACAACATCCAACGCAGGCGTGATGGCACGGCTCGCAGCGAAACGGGAACTTGTTGACCGGGTAGGTGTTTGGGCTGAAAAGAGGAGATCGAAGTCATTAACGCAAGAAATTTTTGCCGATAATACGTTTTTTAACTCACGGGCACTGATAGTAGCAGTCTACATAGATTCGGGAACGCGATCGCCTCGAGCCCTTGCGCGGGGCAGTAGGCCTGTCGAGGTTGTAGAGACCGCTTGCGCACTGCCGGCAGCCGTCCCTGAAGCCTTAGTTTGAAGGGAGGTGCCAAAGCCTACGGATCGCAGCGGCGACACCACGGCGGACAGTCGATGCACTCGTTGGTGATCTTGTCAAAGTAGGAGCCCCTAAAAATGCCCCAAATTACAGAACCTAGAGTTCCTTACTTTTCGCACAACGGGATGCACCTCTGGACGTATTTGTCTTGGGTGAGGAGGAAGCCGGGCTCGCACTCGGTGCATTCGAAGCGCTAAAAACTCAGGAGGTCAGGAGCCCGAGAGACAGTTTAAGTGAGAGAGGGAGAGGGGAGAGAAAGAAAGAGAGCGAGAGATAGAGAGAGAGAGAGAGAGAGAGAGAGAGAGAAAGCAAGGGCGAGAGACAAACATAGAGATTCCTACAAACCTGTACATGATAATGCTGTGCCGGGTGAACCCTGATGCAATGCCGGACCCACGCCGAAATCGGCATACAGCGATAGTCGACCCGAAGATGGCCACTAAAGCCGGTGAAAAATCTCCAACACCAGACTTACGGTGGGCACCAATTCTCCTGCGGCAACCTGGGCCTTATCGGGGCGCACTGCCGATTGTGGTAGGTGGGCAGATAGCCAAGCTTGCAGCGAATGCAATCCTAAACAATCGGGCTCCTGAAAAACTTGAATGGATATGGTACCCTTGTCGGGAGGCAAATCTCGCAGAAGGGTTGACACTTTTCGCAATGTTCATCGCCTGTGCTGGGGCTTCCTGGTACCGAAAAGTGACCGCTGAAAAGTCGAGTTGATCCTTCCATTCTTGATGGCATCAGAAAGAAATTTGGCCACGGTTTATGTACCCGCCCCCTCCAGCCGGAAGGTTTTGGCTATAAATTTTTTATTTTACATTATTGTAGGCTCAAACTAAAACTCTTAGTATATTTTTCGACGCTCTATCGAATGGCGTTGCAAAAATCCCGACAAAATCAGCGAAAATACTGAAAACTTTGAGGCCTTTCGGCTGGGGGGGGTGGGGGTGAAGTTGATAAAAACTCAGTAGATACTTTACATTCATTCCAAAAATACCTCTTGCACACGGGCGCCGTGACGAGTCCGCGACGCTCCAATTCGACGCGCACCTCCTCCATTGCATCGTCGACCCATGTGTAGACGGTGATATGATTGCAGGTTTTGCTGAAAGTCGGTTAAGTACTGGAATATTAGCAAGAGGGCACCTATGTTTCTGCAGTGATTCCCACGGCCCTATGACGGATTATAGACGATATATTTTAGCATTTTGCTCAATTTGAGACACACAAAGGTCCATAAGAAATTCATAAACAGTTTGGAAATTCGTACAATTTGGACAAAAATGTACGAAAAATGGCAAAAACGTCCACATTTTAAGAATGTCGAAACTTTTCTGGACGCTTTTCATAGTTTTCTACCAATCAAAAACTCCAATAAACACCAAAACTCTCGAGATTTTCTAAACGAATTAGATGGGAAACATTACAGTATTTCGAGTCAGCCTTCCGGCGCACAGCTCAGCGCTTTTTAAGGAACTTCTATAGCTGGTCAGCCTCAAAAAAAACACAAAGATACCCACGGGTCCATCCCGTGCGTCCAGCCGAACGGGCAGGCTGCACACACCTCGTCGTAGAGCTCTGGAAAGGACTGAAGCTCAAGAAACCGCGTCAGAATCCACCACCCAGAGGTTCGCTGAACATGCAGTGGGCGCCGCGCCAAAGTGAGTCGTGCTAAAATGAAGGTCGTAGGTTTTGACCCCTACCCTGGTTTGTTCGAAATTTGGTTCTTTTTGCATTATCGGGGCGGGGGTTTCGAAGTCTCGACTCAAGCCAAAGTTAGAAAAAAGTTAGAAAAAAGACCTTTTCATAATACCAAAGAATATTTCCCCCCACCACGAGTCCATAATCGATCAGTCCGCTGAGCGTGCTGCATTGCCGGACGTGGTACTCGACGAGCACGTCGTCCTCCATCACCTTTGCGATCTTGTGCACTGGGAAGTCGTGGTCGTTGAGACTGGAGGGTCATTGGAGAATCGGTGAGCAGGACCTACTCCTGAAGGAAGATGCCATCCAGATTCGCGTGGGAGCACTCGATCAGGCCGCCAGTTTCTGTGCTAAAAAATGGCGTCAAGCTCACTCACTCTCTCTCTCTTTCCCTCTCTCTCTCTCTCTCTCTCTCTCTATCTCTCTTCTCTCTTTCCAAACCGTACATCGGATACATTTGCTCACACTCCTCGGCCACACATCGCTGTGTGTAGTCCATCGTATCTTCCCAGATTCTGTCTCCGGCTTCATTCTAAAAAGGCCTGCTTTAAGAGAGGGAGACAGCCAGAGAGAGAGAGAGAGAGAGAGAGAGAGAGAGAGAGAGAGACAGAGAGAGAGGGCGAGAGATATGAAGAAAGATTAAGAAAACTTTTAAAACCCACAACCAGATCTTGGTTTTTCGTTGGCATAAGGCGTAGGATCAGAATTACGAATGCGGTTCGCCAGCTCATAGACGGGGCGACCAGATGGGGCAGGGCATCGCTTCAGGAATAACCCAAACCACGATTTATGCAACTCTCGGATGTATGCAAATTCTTGAAACCCGGTTCTGTGCTGCGCAAGGGAAGATACAAAATACCACCACAACAATTTATTCTCCGCAAATACCACCACCGAATAAGGGCTGAAAGTTTTAACGATTTGGAATTGACAAACACGGTTAATTTGAGACATGGGATAAATGGTGAGTAAGAATGGGTAGTAGGACGAGGAGGCGGAGATCAGGATGGAGGGGTTGGGCTTCGCTCTGGGTTCTCCGTTTTTGTTGCTGTTTGGTGGTCGTGGTCGTAGTTGTTGCCGTAGTTGTTCGCGTCCTATAAAAAAATCGGTGTACTGCAATGTTGGCGGGGGTGGAAACCTGACGTTGGCCTATCGGCCTTTTCCTACGCCATTTTCCAGTACCGAAAGCTCTTAAGAACTCCATAAAACTCTCGGAAAATTTTATTTTTTTTTGCCAAAATGTGTATAGGGGGATCAAATTTTTGATCGCTTTTTGGTGATAGAAAATTATCAAAAAAAAACGCTATAATACACTAAAAACACTAAACAATTTTTGCCACGTTAACAAACCTGAGTGTTCACCGCCGACTCGCTGCTCATGAGGCTTCGTCTCCGTTCCACCTCTTCCTGCGTGACGGGCCGCTGCTCGTAGGTGGGCAGCGTCGGGGTCGAGGTCCCGGTGGGCACCGTTCTGCTGCGGGTCTCGCCGGTCCCCGTCTCCCGGGAGAACGACGTCGCGTCCCCGGTGCCCTGGTAGCTCTCCTGGGTGGTGCGGATGGATACTGAAAAAACAAAATGATAAAAAGTGTGCCCACCAACCCAGCTTGAATTTTACGCGCATCACGAGCTGTAGCCCTAAGTTTCAGTCAAAAAGCAAAAAGTCTGATGAGAGTGGGATTCGAACCCACGCCTCCGGAGAGACTGGTGCCTTAAACCAGCGCCTTAGACCACTCGGCCATCTCACCATGGGGTGGCGAAAGGCCGGGTGGGGCTATCCGCAAAGGGACGGGCCGGGCCACGCCCCTTTTGGGGGCTACTCCCAAAATTGACAGGTGTCGGATCGACACCGGAAGATGCTACCAATTACGTAAATTTGCTATGAACTTCTTTAGTATCTCTTTTTTTGAGGTAGTAGATCTCCCAAACCCTACAAGAGCCACTCTTCGACGATTTCGCATGGCGCTTGATCGCTTCCTCTTTGCGCATCTCGAGGTTTCGCTTCAGGCGCATGTTGAGGAGGGCTTGGGGGCGGAGCTAAAATTATTTGGAGGTCATGCTCAACCCTTAAAATTATGTAAAAAAGCTTCAAAAATTCGTAATGCGCCCACATTTTGCCTGACGATGACGCGCTCCTGCTGGTCGAGCGGGTTGCAGCGCCGAGAGTTGGAGGAGGAGGCTGAACCTTGAAGTACTACATCACTATTTAATCTTTTAAGGCATAGAGTGTGTCCTGAAACTAAAAGTTCCTACAACTCACACAAAACCAGGTTCCCGAACGCATCGAGGCTGTGCTCGCGCACCGGCGGGGTGAAACTCAGCGCCTTCGAGCTGCTGCTCCCCGTTCGAGACTTGCGCATGAACACCATGATCTCGAGCTCTTCGAGGGCGGCGGCTTGTACGATGCTGAACAACTGCAGTGAGTTCAACCGTTAAGCTCCTACTCCTCATAGCGCCAGCAGATCAGCTCGGCGTCGTCGAGCTCGCCGTAGAAGAGGGCTACTGTAGAAAAGGCAAACTTCAAGACAAGGCAATATCTATCTTACTAAAGATGCCAGAGAGATGGACGATAAAGTAGAGGAGAAAGGCGGGCGGCGGGAAGATGAGCAGCATCCAGAGGGGCGCGTTATAGGCATTGGCGAATGAGTCAAGCATTGATGCGTCGGCCACCTACGATTTCTCAATGAAAGGGGCCAGTTTTCAGGCAGGATTTTAAAGTTTTTATAAATTTAATTTATAGCAAGATTAATTTGACCATGCTCTATCAGATGGCGACAAAAATCGAGATCGAGAGCCTTCTGTCTGTCTAGCCTGTTTTTTCCAGCTAGCTAAACTCACTTCGTACATCCATCCGAGACGCTCCCATTGACAAAACTTGTGGCCAGGCACCGGTTCAGACATACGGTAGCCGTTCTCCTCGTGGCAACGATCAACACATCTCTAAAAAGATTAAAGCCTTGCTTTAGCCGAAATTCGCTGCCGTTTTCAAGGTCTGGTCCAGGCAAATGCGGATTTTTACGCTTTCTAATCCCTTTAAAAAGCTCCAACTCACCCCCACAGAATCCCTGATGCCGTGCCGACACTTTTTGCACTGATCGGCCCCGTAGCTGCTGCAGCCGATGCACTCCGGGTGGCAGCGTAGACATTGGCCGCGTTGGTCTTCGAATTCTTGCCTGGATTGTTGGAAGTTTTCGCTTCTCGAAAAGCTCTACTCTGGATCGCAGACGTGTGCGGCGTCCTCTCGATGTTCAGTGCACTCTTGGCGGGCGTCTTCTAGAAGTCTTTCAATTGTTTGAAAGTCCGGAATCTTTTAACCAAAATTTAGGGCGCAAACCTCCAAATTTTACATATTTTTCTGGATTTTCCGACTGTTTGGCAGATAGAAATACCTTGCATAAAATGGCAAGCATCCTACCTTATATAATTTTGGTGTGTAACTGTGTGTGTGTGTGTGGATGTCACTTTCAAGGCCCGATTTGAGGCCCTTCTCGTGCATAAAATGCCCCAATTCTCCGTCACCCGGGGGAATCGACCCTTCTGTTTCCGATGGCGCTTTCAGAATTTTGATAAAATACAAGTTTACAAAGTTAAAGCCGGTTTTACTCATTTTTGGGGTAATTTGCATAATGTAAAAATAGAAATTCTTCATTCTTGCAAGTTGCACCGCGAGTGTGGTCGGCCGGGGGGGGGTCCGAAGGACCCGAGCTATCGGAAGTCAAATTTCTTATGCAAGGCGAATTCGGCCCAAGGCCCGCGAAGCGGGTTTTGGGCGCTGGTCGACAAATAACGATTTATTGGCTAAAATGTCGCCCAAATTCAGTGGTGCGCCGTTCAGACGCAAGCCATGTAAAAAAGTACAAAAGTATACCTTCCTCATCCGGATTTCCGGTAAAATTGAGCGCTGTCGTGAGTTGTGCCATGTAGCCGCCGAAAATGGCCCGCGAGCGTTGTAGTAACGTTTCGTTCTGAAAATTCCGATTTGTGGGCGAAATGATGTGAAAACTCACCCATCTGCAGCCGACGCACTTGAACGGCTCCTCGCAAACGATGCACGTGTTCGCTTCGGGCTCGAGGAACGTTCCGCTATCCACATAACGTTTTTTAAATGATTTTTAATTTGTACCGTGGGCACTCCTTGACGCAGTAGTGCCACAGATCTTTTCGGTAGCCGGGCTCGCATTCGGTGCACGGCTAAAAAACGATTTGCCTGCTGTCGAGATTATCCAGAAGCTTCAGGGTGCCCCAAAAAACCGTTTGCGGTCTGTATGCTGTTTTTTACTGTTCCTGACCATAATAACTTTACAAAATTTTATGAAAAATGACGAAAATATTTTTATCTAGTTGGAATACAGTTAGATTTCCTAATAAGCAACAACCACAAAAATAATCATAAGAATTCGCAAAAAATCTTGGTTCCCTAATCATGCAAAAAAACCGGCAAACGTCTCAACCGGATGCGATTTTAGGGCAACGCTGGAATAAAGGGTGAAAAAGCCTACATGAAAGTTGATGGACTTGGGGCTTTGACCGGCACAGTGTTGGAGGCAGTGGTCATGTTGGCAAAACGGCTCGTAGAAATGGTTGGTGCGCACCGCGCTGGGGTTGGAGGCCAGCAATATCCTGTTCAGTGCATTTGAAATCACGGCCGAAAAGGCCAAGTGCCGGTGCGGTCTTTTTGGATCTTTCGCTTTATCGGTGGGGGGGGGGGAGAAGATGAATTTTTTGTTTAGTTCTAGAAATGGCTAGAAACTTAAAAGAAATAGTTTTATTAGTGTTTTTGGTGAAATTTAACTATATCAAATGAACTCGAAAAACTATCTAAAAACCTCAAAGAAACCCTCCCCCCGATAATGCGAAAGAACCTCGGCGTTATGACCGTTTCTGAAGGATCCGGCAGAGAAGTTTGAAGTCTGAAGTTTTACCATTGTCGATTAATGGCGCTGAAGTCGACGCGGCGCATGTAAATCGGCACCCCATGTGTCCGTTTGATCAAGTGGTGGCTTTTGTTGTATACCTCCTGGGAAACACGGGTGGGTTCATGGAGGCGCGAAGATACCTCTAACTGGAGACGAGCGACCTCGACCGACTCAACGCTGGGATGTTTTTCATTGAGGCGGTCATGCGTCAGGCAGGTGACCTGAAAAGCGTCTTGGGAGGACGGACCCTGTATGATTACAGACTTCCAGCCGCTTACGTCCTAAACGCAAAGCCCTACCAGCATCCGCTTGGCCGTCAGCACGCCGATCAGCTTGCAACTATCGCATTCCCCTCGCGATGGGCCCCCTGAAAAAGGTCGTCGATACTACTTCCCGCAACCCCTAGAGCGAAACATAAAAAAACAGTTTCTGGGCTGTTAGCGGTGGGACCAAATTTTTCCCTGCGTTTCTTTACGGCCCTATACAGGCCCGTAAGAGGGGGCGGGGGGCGAGCCGCCCCCCCGAAATCGGCCGAAGGCCGAAAAGTTCATGATGGGGGACCCTTATGATTTAATTTTTCCAAAAATTTTTTTGCGGCGCTGTTTTTAGCTATTTTTAACACTAGTTTTAGTGTTATAAACCCTATGTTTTCAAAAATTTTGCCTGCGGCGCTATAGTTTTAGTCATATTAGTGAAAAATTTTTGGGGTCCCCCCGAAATTTGGGTTTGTTACGGCCCTGGCCCTATAGCATAATACAAACCATTTTTTCATTTTTTTTGCAAGCATTTTTACATAGTTTTGAGATATAAAAAGTAATAAAAATGTTCGAAATTTTTGATTATTTGGTCAAAAATGTATGAAAAATGACCAAAAAAATTAAAATCATTGAATTTTAAAAATTTCGAAAATCTTTTTATGCCTTCCTGGCAATCACTACGTGAAACCCTATAAAAGTACATTAAAAATTTTCGGCTGCAATAGAAGGACACAAAAGTCCAAGTCCAGAACCAAAAAACCTACAACATCCATAGCAGGCCACATGGCATGGCTCACACCGAAAGGGGAAGCGATTGATGGGGTAGTGGTCGAATCTGAATGTCGAACCGATGAAAAAATTCTCAATTAATACGGGCATTCATAGCGACATTCGACGTGTCGATCGTCCAGCCAGAGATTGTATAGTCCGGGGATGCACTCGAGACAGCCGCTTCTAAAGTAATTGTAGACGTTGTCCAGAACTGAGTTGTTAGCGGGGGCTAGACCCGCCCCCCCGATAATAGTATAGTACCAAAAACGTACTCGTCACATCGGCGACACCAATTCGGGCAGGGCCGGCACTCGTTTGATGGGTCGTGGAAGTACATGCCTCTGAAACTTTCAAATTTTTGTTAGGAAAGAGATAGAGAGAGATAGTGAGAGATTATAGAGAGAAAGAGAGAGCGATAGAGAGAGAGAGTGAGAGACCTCACCGAGCGCACAGCCGGACACACGTCGTCCGGAAGCGATCGTGGGCAATCGTGTAGCCGGGCTCGCACAGTTCGCATCGCCGATGGTTACCACACGACACGCATCGAGGGGTCCACGCTTTGCACTCCTGGCACAACGAGCCGACCCGGATGTAGTTCCTGGAAGTAGGGAGCCCAATGATGGAGTCGAAAGCCCCCACTCTGGACACGGGCTGGCAGTCTGGATGCCATCAACGGGAACAGAGGCCGGCAAACAGTAAGGAGTCCTCCCGTCGGCGGCCAACGCCGGGAAGTAGCCCGCCTCGCACTGGTAGCACGACTAAAAAACGTCCTAGGTCATCCTGGATGAAAGCCTAATAAGCCAAACACCCGACATTTGGCCGCCTTGCGTACGCTAGGTCTCAAATTAGATGGGAGGTGCATTGGGCCTAACTAGCTGAAATGCTCACTGAAAGCCCGAGAGCCACAGTACATCTCGAGCCGCCGCGGAAATCGGGTTTCTCGGTGTGTTTTAGAAGGCTTCCGTAGATTTTGCGCACTACGCTGTTAGCGGGGGGGGGGGGGGCGGTGGGGCGGGGCCAATTTTTTCATTTTCTGCCTATGCCTATCGTGTATTTTCATAGTTTTTAGTAGCCGAAATAAGCGAAGGAAGGTGGATAAACGCTGGCCGGCCAGCCCCCCCCTCGCTAACAAGCCAGTACCGTTTTTTCACTAGGATTTTTTCTTGAAAAGAACTCAATGAAACAAACACTCGTTTATACAATTTTTTGAAAGCCAAAATCCGCCATGATTTCAAGCGAAAGGAGGCCTCACCCGGAGGCCCATGTGATTCGCGAAAAGTTCAAAAATATAGGCAAAAAAAATTGTATTTAAGTCGGAAAGAGGTTGCCGTTACAGCCCGAAAACTATTGCAGATAGCGTGCTGGGAATCAGGATTACTGTTATTTAGGATCCAACCACTAATCTAATTTCAGGACAGCTTCTCCCCCTTCGATGCCCGGAAGCTAAATGCCGAAGCGGTGCATTTTGAGGGGACCCTGTAATAACCAGAGTCGAGCCAACCTTGCTGGTGTGGCAGAGCCTGCAATTCTGTGGGCAGCGCTGGTTGCAGATTCCCGGCACGTAAAGATTTTTGTCGCGATCCCTGAAAAAACCGAACAGATGGGTAATGGTAATCGAGGAAGTATCCGACTTGGGGCACTCGACGCCGAAGTACGCGAGGGCGGTCGCCGCTCCGGTTTGACCATGGATCATAAACGACTCAATCTCGGCACCTTCCAGAGTCAGGCGCGTGCACATTGAATCATCACTGAAACACTCTTTTGTTTACAACAATATCACCTTGAACGGTGTCATTTGACTCGTAACGTATTTGAAGGAAGACCAAATTTTTTTAGAAGTCTAGAAATGTCTAGTTCCTTAGGTTTTGTTAAAAAACGACTACATTTCAACTCGAAAAAACTATGGAAAAGTTTCAAAAAGTCGGAATTTTGGTTAAAAAAAATCGATAGTTTTGGAATTTTTAAATAAATTTTTTTTTATAGTTTTCTCGTTTATGAATATTCAAAACCCTTTACAAAAACGCCCACTATTTATATTGAAAAAATTAGATCCTAAGAAAAAGCTGGTCCCCGCCATAATACGAAAGCACAACTTTTGGAATTTTGGTCCAATCGGCGATTACCTCCCCCCCCCCCCCCCCCCCGATAATACGCAAGTTCCCGTCCTTTTCGAAAGGCTTTCAAGAAACATAAAAAGTTAAAAGCGAAAAATGGATTACAAGAAACGAAACCTCCTCACGTGTTATTAAATACCGTCCCCGGTGCACATTCATCGCACTGTCCGTTGTACCAATACTTGCAGCCGGGAGTCGCCCCGGAACGCTCCAGATCTATCTGAATGGCTTATATAAGTGCAGTTCACCCCTCCCCCCCCCAGCCGACCACCCCTACCGTATCTCGGCTCCCTGTTCATCTACAGGCGTGTAAAGTATACCAAAATACTCGCCAGAGAACGGAAATAATTTTGGTATATTTTAGACACCTGCAGATAAACAGGGAGCCCAGATAGAAAAGTTGAGCGCCGGCTGGGGGGGGGGGTGGGTAAACTCCACTCTAACCATCTGAATATTTGGGTATTCTACTGCTAGCGGGGGGGGGGGGCGACGGGCCCATTTTTCCTCACTCAGCAATATCGTACGCTAACCGAATGTCAATTTTGCATGAGAATACAGGTAAACGCCAGTGATCAAGTCAACACCCACCACAAAAAACACGCGCCCTTCGGCGTTAATATGGAGGCCAGCACATCGGATTTCGCTCAACACCGTCGTTTTTCCGCTGTCGTCGACGGTGATATTTGTCACATGATATGGGAAGATTGTGTGGCTGAAAAGATATATTTTGAATGAATATTAAAAGCGCGACTAGGTATTTCGACATTCTGGGAGCAAATAATCGTCGTAATATACCTGTAGTAAAATATGTCGTCGACATTTTGCCCGTAGCACTCGGTCAGCCCGCCGGTTTCCGTGCTGCAATTTCGCGTTCCAAACAAAGCCGAAGAAATTACATATAATGCCAAGGCCGATCGCATTCTTCGCCGTCACATCTTGTATAGCTGAGCGTCGAGTAGTTCTGAAACAGCGATAAGTCGCATACCGATGGTAAGAAAATGCATACCGTATACGCGCAAGAATGGTAGAAGAGCAGCACCAAGACGAGGAGCATCCGGAGGATCATCGAGAAGACGACTGGATTATCACATAGGAGTCTCGAGATGAAGCCAATTTGTGTCGTTTTTGGTGGCCTTGGCGAATTCAAACCGCATGCTAATTTTTTAACTATTTTGCCAGATGCCAATTTTTTTTGCAGTTTTAAACCTGGGTGACCGGCCCGAAGAGAGTGCAAGCGAGAGCGAGAGTGAGAGAGAGAGAGAGAGTTAGAGAGAGAGAGAGAGGGAGGGAGGGAGCGGGCGAGATAGATAGAAAGAAAGGAAGAAAGAGAAAGAGAGTGAGAGAGCTCGAGAGGGCGAGCGAGAAATCCAGCTTCAGCAATTTTTCGAAACCATTCATTTATTCAAAAGCGCCGAAAATCCGTACAAATAGGGTTTGCAATCACAATTACAATTTGCAATGAATTAATGTATAGGCTTTAATAGCTTGGATGGTCAACGGCTCGGGCGCGGTGAAACGACAACTTCGGGGCGTACGGTGTCACCATCTCCTAGCGGCTCATCTTCGTCGGTTTCTGCCTGGAAAATGAGTTTCGAAACGAAAATTCCAAAATCTTACCTGCTCATCGCGGATAAACTCCCGGTAGTTCTGCAGATCGTCCTCGAGCACGGCCAAAAGCTGATCGAGCCGCAAAAAAAGTTAAAATAAGGTCACAATTCGCGAATTTTCAAACGTTTTTTACAAATTTCTAGCAATCAAAAACTACTAATAAGCACAAAACACACCAGTTATTATTAACAAGCATAGGTGAAAAAACAAGAATTGGTTGGTTAGAGTGGATTTACTCCCCCCCAGCCGGCACCCGACTTTTGTATCTCGGCTTCCTGTGCATCTACAGGTGTGTAAAATAGACCAAAATGTGCGCCTTGCTCTCCAGAGTATTTTGGTATGCTTTACACACCTGTAGGTGAACAGGGAGCCGAGATACGGTAGGTGGGGTTCGGCTGGGGGGGGGGGGAGCGTAAACTGCACTTAAGCCAATTGGTTTACCCGGTACTAAGATTTTACCATGCTCATAAACTCACAATATACGTGATGCCATTAATCAGCCGGGTGGCCGACTCCGTGACGTCGATGAAAATGTTGCCGATCGACATGGCCAGATCGTGCGCGAGCTCGAGGATCAGGATGGCGACGAAGCGAAGGATCTAAAATTTGGGATGCTGGATCGTTAGCGGGGGGGAGAAAGATAACGATGGACCTATTGGAAGCCCGATCGCAAAGAAATCAACTCTGGTCTGTTAGCGGGGGGGGGGGAGCACTTTTTGTTTGCCAACTATAACTGCCCGTTGATGATATTATATATTTTTATCATGTTTTTAGCGTGTTTTGATTGCTAGAAAGCCACAAAAAAATTTTCAATTTGAAAATTTTGAGATTGCGTTGATCATTTTTCATTTTCGAAAAGTTATTATGGGTTTTTATTGTTTTTATATCTAAAAAACCATGGAAATGTTATAAAAATGGTTTACATTTTGTTATAGGGCCTTAGAGAATCACAGGGACTCCCCCCGCTCACAGTCCAGTACGAAGAAACCAGCAATCGGTGGTGCCCTAGTTCAAAAAGGACACCTACAGATTCACCGATGCTGTACAGAAAGTTCTTGACCGGGTGGAGGATGCGGTAGATGACGTGGCGCGCGATCGCTGGACCTGGAAATGCGGTTTTTCAGCCAAAAACTGCTATGGAATACGTCTGGTAGAAGCGATGAGCGGGGACTCGCGCAGGGCGCTCATCTCGGCGGCAAGAACTTGAAATTTGGTGGAAGCCAAGATGACGTGAATCAGGCTAGAAATGAGAAGAAATATGCAAATTTTTGCAAGGAAATTTAGGTAAATTTTTGTTTGTTACAGTGGTATAGGTTTCGCAGCGTGAATTTTGAAAATATTACCGGTCAAGCGGCTGATCCGCTGTAGATCCGCAGGTTCTTTTCCATTATCGGGGGGGACTTGGTTTTTTGCCGATCAGCCGAAAAGTATTTAGTGACAACTATTAAAAATCGAATTTTCGGACAAGAAATCGCTTTTAACCCGAATCGTTCTTTCTTTTCTTCGAATAGTTTTAACCCAAAATTCTCCAGCTTTTTTGTTTCGGGATACTTAAAACGTTTTACTATATTCCCGGTATTTATTAGCAAAATTCGATACTGGAGAAAAAGTCGAATGGTCGCTTTCGAGGCGCGGTGACTTTTGGGCAAGAGAATCCATGAAAAATAATCCTACTATATATAAAAAAATAGTTCCTGTGTGTGTGTGTATGTATGTGTGTGCATTTGCATGCAACTTCCGTCAGCGTGTTCCAGCAGTATCTCAATAAGGGGGGTATTAAGGGGCATGTTTGATACGTCATTAGGTGCGTAATGGCCTGGGCTGGTACCAAAGTGCCGAAATTAGCCCCTATCTATTACCCCCTAGTCAAATTTTGACTACCCCCTAGTCAAACTATTACTAGGGGCTAATCATGCCAACATTCGCTAACTAGTAATTCAATACAAAAATAACTAGTCAAAGCTTGACTACCCCCTAGTCAAATTTTGATCACCCCCCTGGTCAAAGTGTGACTACCCCCTAGTCAAACCACCACCTGGATGATTGGTAGTGGTAAAAACGAAAGAAAATAAGGTGGAATTTTAGGGTAAAACCACTACAGAGCTTGACTACCCCCTGGTCAAATTAATATGAAAGTTTTTTCATATTTCGTTTGACCAGGTGGTAATCCACACTTGCAAGAAAATTTTCTCCCCAAACGTCGAAACTGAGCGTTTTTGGGCTTGACCAATCGAAAATTCACACCTTAATCTGCCCGTACTCCAAAATCTAGCCTCCGAGGTAAATTTAGCGAGTTTTTATAATAAAAACCCTTTTTCCGTTGACCAGCCCCCCTATCACCATTTTGCTCGGAGATGGTTTGACTAGGGGGTAGTCACATTTTGACCAGGGGGTGATCAAAATTTGACTAGGGGGTAGTCAAGATTTGACTAGGTGTTTTTGTATTGAATTACTAGTTAGCGAATGGTGGCATGACTAGCCCCTAGTAATAGTTTGACTAGGGGGTGGTCAACGTTTGACCAGTAGTGGTAAAATAAAATTTGGCACTTTGGTACCAGCCCTGGAGATGATTGCACACTCATAAAATTACCAAAAATTCGCTGTTTTCGACGTTAAAATTAAGCTTTTTGTTGAAAAATCGAGAACCTGTTAGGAAATAATTAGCATACTCCGAAAGTTCCGGTACCCTTATAATGGGGTAGAGAGCGGGAGTTGTTCAGTTTTGTCATAGAAAAGCGCGCGAATTATGCAAAGTGACGAATATCATGGAATCAGACGGGTCCAGGGTTGAAAAGTCGCGAAGCGGCTTTTCAACCCTGGTAATAAATAATAAAGCAAGAAAAAAACCGATGCACCAAATAATTTATTCCAAACATTCACCCGGAAAGCACAATTCAAAGAACAGATACAGCCAACCGAAACGTAATTCTTTTCCCATTAAATTGTCATTTGTCCCATATCGGACATCAGTTAATTCAGGCATTCGACTTGAGTGACGCCTTGGAGACGACCGTCGCGTCAGGGTTCAGCAGGCGGTGCCGGGCGCTGCGCTGGGCGGGGGCGCTGCTGGGCGCGCTGCGGATGGGTCCTCACGTAGTGGAGCAGGTCGTCGGGTTCTGAAAAGTGAGGTAGTGCCACCAGCTACGGTACTTAAAACCTAAGCGGTTGTGATTCGTTAGCGGCGGTACCAATTGTGTTGTTTTAAATACACACACTAAAAAAATATGGAAAATTTTTTACTGAAATTTCAATCGAAAATCCGCAATTTTTGCTCGAGAAATTGACGTTTTTTCTCAAATTTTGTAAAGATTTTTAGTTAGGCATAATAAAACAGGGTAGAAACACCAGAGAAATAGAAACAGCAGTAGAAAAATTGAAACTTTGGTTGAAAATCGATATTTTTGCCATTCAATAATTTTTGTAACGTTGTAAAATTAAGGAACGCGTAAAACACTGTATAAAAATCTCGCGCTTATATTATAAAAATTAGATTTTAAATAAGACTCTTGTGTAACATTTCCGCACCCCGCCCCCGGAAATACCAAAGAACCGTCTACCTTTTAAATACAAAAATTTCATAAAAATCTACCCGGAAATAGATCGTAGAACTCCGCTGGCTCCATCTAAAAAAGTGGGGGATGACGTCGAGATTGAGCAATTTACCTCGGGAAGTCCTTGACGACGAAGAATACGATTGCCCGCATCCACGTACTAAAAAAATCTTTTACAGCCGGAAGCTTCGCGGCCTACGTCCATGATAGCACGGCGCAGCCGACGGATCCGCATGTCTTGGACATGCAGATACAGACGGAACTGGAAAGGGAAGTAGAGTTCCCGGAGGATTCCCGTCTTTTTGGTTCTGGTTCGTTAGCGGGGGGGGGGGGGGAGCAGGGCCTGTTGAGTTAAGCATAGCCCCCGCTAACAAATCAGAACCGTCGTTTAAGGCAAACAGATCTGGTAGTAATGAAAAGCGGATCGATTTTAGATTTTATAATGGCCCTAGTAGGTTTTGATTCCGCGAAAGTCATAAAAAGTTTTGAAAATTCGAGAATTTCATAATTTTTGGTCAATTTTCATCATTTTTTGGGCACAGAGTCATAAAATTCAAAATTTTTTTATAATTTCTGTTCCTGGTTGTTAAAAAAAAATACTGTGTTGTTATGACATTTTAGGCAGTTTTTGATTGCTGGAAAGTTACAAAAAAAAATTTAAACGTTTTTGAAAGTTCGCGAATTTAGGCCTTTCTAGTGCCTTTTAAGTTTTTTCTTCATGAGCTATTTACTACTTAAATGTCATAAAAATAGTTATATTTTGTTATAGAGCTGCAGGAAATTGCTGTAGGGCCAATTGGCTTACCCTGGTAAAAATCGCCCCGCTAACCGTACCAGTACCGAAAATGTCCGTTCTTAAATCAGGATATGTCGGCAGTAAATCGCTTAACTATTGAAAAAAACGCGGCCCTGGGCACCTACGTACTACGTCACGGGAATGTGCGCGCAAATGCATTATTTTTACCTAGTAGAATTGGGCCCTAGGAAGAAGCCCTAACAATCTCCCAAAAACGTCCTAAACGACCCACGAATCGTTTGAAGAGGCGAACAAGCCACTTCAACGTCTCCACAAGCCAGTTGACCGTCTCGAGAACGAGCCAAAGCAGCAGCAGAAACTGAAAATGAAACAGAACTGAAACAGATTAGAGTTAGCCTATAAAAAGTTGTTTACTTGCGTCCAAAATGATGGCATAAATTTTCAGAATCTCGGGTTTTCAGAACATCGCAATTGCGATGAATCCCTTATGGAGGAGGAGCTGGGCTGGACGGTAGGTAAACTGAACCGTAGACCAACTGGTTTTTTGGCTAACACTACAATACTACTATAACTGTACCACAAAGAAAAGAAAATTGATACATACCGGAGGTTTGCTGAAGTACAAGATCAGGATCAGCCACCACTGGACCTGAAAAACTTGCAGTTTTCGATCGTTATAAGGAGTACTTTTTAAAGGGACAGGTGGTTCTGGTTCGTTAGTGGGGGGGGGTCGAAAACATCTGGTGTTGAAATAAACCGGTACAAATAGCGGTAAAAGCTGCGAAAATCGCACCTTTAAGCATATTTCGGTTCCTTCGTAATATCGGTGTAGAGGAAGATTTTTTTATCAGGCAAAAATTTACATACAGGGTGTCCCAAAAAAAACCCCCCCTCTAGCGGTCCGTGGGAAGCTCAGATCAGGATGATTTTTATACCATTCGAACGCCCGCGAAAAGGCGAGAAAACAAGCGGGCTTCATTTTCTAAGTTTTATTCTGAATCGTCCGATATTCAACGTTTTTCTAAAAAACAGGCAGCTTTTCAATAGGAATTTCGCAATTAGCATGCGGATCTCGCGTAAATCAGCCGTTTTCATGGATTTTGGAGGTAAAATTCGCCAATAAAAATACATAATAAAGAAAATGAACCCTCCATGTTTTCTCGCCTTTTCGAGAGCTTTCGATAGATACCTAAACGGCGAGAATCGGACACGTCTGGGCGCGGCTAGAGGGGGGGGGGTTTTTTTGGGACACCCTGTAGTTTTATTAAAAAAAAATCGAGATTTCGGCCAAACACTGTCCTTATTGACCAAGATGTCGACTTTTTGAAAAATTTTGAAAAGTTTTCAGATAGTTTTTTTTGTTAAAATATAGTTTTAATTCACTAAAAGTGGTATTGAAAATACCTCCTATTAATTTGGGTATATGTCGGCTACGCGGGGGGGAAAATTTTACGCGGGGGGGACGGGACCGGCAGGCCTTTTTGGATGTTTTCGTTATTTTCTCGGGATTTTTGCAACGGCATTCGATAGAGCATCGAAAAATATACTAGGAGTTTTTGTTTTAGCTAAAATTAGCGTAATATAAAAAAGTTATCGCAAAGACAAAAATAAGCTTTGAAAATCGGTTTGAGCCGCTGTTTTTCGATATTCGCGCTATTTTTTTCGAGATTTTAAAGATGCCATTCGATAGAGCATCCAAAAATATACTAAGAGTTTTAATTTTAGCTCAAAATAATGTAATATAAAATAGTTATAACAAAAACAAGTATTAAACGTTGTTTTCATGGAGGATATAGAAGGAAATCAAATTTTCGACATTTTCGACATTTTTACAAAATTTCTTTAATGCCATTCGACAGAGCGTCAAAAAATATACTAAGAGTTTTGTTTGTAGCAAAAAGAAACGAAAAACAATAGTTAGCTCGGCCCCAATAGTCCGTCCCCCCCGCGTAAAATTTTCCCCCCCGCGTAGCCGACATATACCATTAGGCATTTCTAGATCGACACAAAAAATTTTACCTTCTACCGAAAACCCATATTTTCAATTTATCGACAACCTTCAACTATAGTTAAAAGCTAAAACTATTGAAGCAGTCTGAATCTCGGGTTCTTTTACTTTCACGGGGGGGGGGAGGGGTGGGAAGACTATCGTTTCGCCACGCATCCTACCCCGGGAGACTGCCGATGATAGAACCCGCCGATAGGCCACACTAAAAAAGTCGATTAGCGGTTCTGTGGCATTATCGGGACCCTAATTGGCTTGCGTGCAGTTTACCCCCCAGCCGACCCCCACCTACCGTATCTCGGCTCCCTGTTCATCTACAGGTGTGTAAAGTATACCAAAATGTTCGTTTTGCTTTGGCGAGTATTTTGGTATACTTTACATACCTGTAGATGAACAGCGAGCCGAGATACAAAAGTTGGGTGCCTGCTGGAGGGGGTAAACTGCGCTCTAACCTCTTGATTTTTTGATTAGTCTAGTGAATAGCTTAATGAGAAGTATTTTAATAGCGTTCTTAGTAAAATTAAAGGTAAGGGCGAACAGTCTCAAAGTTTTCGATATTTTCACTAATTTTTTGGGATTTTCTCAACGTCTTTCGCTAAAGTGCCGACATATACAGGGTGTCCCATAAAAAGGCACCCCTCGGGCATTTCGCCGTATTACATCCCAACAGTCCCAAAATTGGACTGGAGGTGTATCAGACCCTAAATAACCACAATCCTGAATAATAGCCCGATCGCTACAGTAGTTTTCGAGATACAGCAAACATAAACTTTATAATCCGTTTTTGATAAGGTTTTCGTCGGAAACGACCATTCGAATATTAAGTGAAAATGAAGCGGCAAGCGTTCTTTACCCTTAGAAATTTTTTCCTGATAAAAATTCATCAAATAACCGTTGATTTCAACAATTTTTGTAACCCAAAGAAACACCCGATATTAAGCGAAATTAGGGATTCGCAGCCGGAAGTCGATGCAAATCGATGCAAAGTCCAAAAAGATAGCCGAAAAACTGTTAAGAATCGCGTAAAAAAATAGTATTTTGGCGATAACTCGAAAACTACGGTAGAGATCGGGATATAACTCAGGATTGTGGTTATTTATGGCCTGATACACCCTTGTGCAAAGTATGGGACCGATTGGATGTAAGGCGGCGAAATGCCGGAGGGGTGCTTTTTTTTGGGACACCCTGTAGACGGCGTAGATGGTTCTCAATGGCTTTGTACTATTCCTAAACATCCAAACTTGCCAAATATGCATTTTTAAAAAATAAAAAATTTCGATTTACGACCAAAATTGACCGATCTTTGACCAAAATTTCGGGTTTTTAAGGTTTTATAGAAAACTTTTCTAGTTGAACTAGATCTAGATAACTAGATAACTTACTAAGCGTTTCTAGACTTATCCGAAAAAGTCGGGTCCCCCGATAATGCGAAAGAACCAGTCGACGATTCCGGAATTACCCCTGTCGGCCAAAACCGGATCATCGTGATCAGGCCGATGAGGCGCTTGCTGGCGGGCCTGCTGTAGGTCGTACGCCTGGGGCTCGAGGGGGGCCAGCCCGGCGGCAGCGTTGGGGCCCGCACGCGCCGGCCTGTTGCGCTGAACCCACAAAAATAGAGTCCGGCAAGGACTTGCGTACCCTGTTCGGCATAGGGAGGGACGAATAGAGGAATAAAACCTCGGAGTGATGGTCCGAATACCGCTAGAGTTACAGTATTTTGAGGCGGAAATAGGCGAGTTCATTGTATGCTGGATGCTAATACGGGCAAGACTTGCCTCCATTCTTATCGAGCGAGCGAGAGAGAGAGAGAGAGAGAGAGAGAGAGAGAGAGCGAAAACGAGAAAGCGAGAGAGGGAAAGAGAGAGAGGGAGAGAGAGAGATAGAAGGGAGAAAAGATGTCCTGCTTCTTCCTGCTCATTGTTCTCAAACTGTCTATTTTTATTCCACAGCAAGGTACAGTACAACAAAAACTCGAAGCGATCGACAAGTGTTTTAATAAACATCACATCTAAAAAAGCTAAATTTTTAACGGGTTTTGCGTGGGTTTGTCGTTGTTGGGGTCGAGCAGGAGGGACGGCAGATGGTTGACGAGTCGACTCCGCCGGACGACTTCTGAAATTTGCTTATTAACATAAAGATTTCAGGAGCATGAGGAAACGCTTGATAAAATTAGCTCCAAACGCTAACCTAGAATTTAGCCAGCTTGCTGCCGGGGCTCCTCCTCAGCCGGCGCTTCCGCTTCCGCTTCGTCTCGGGCTTCGGCTGCCGCCTCTTCGCGCAGCACGTCGTTGAGTAATTCGAGCTGGAAACCGCTTTTTCGACTCAAATTTAATGTATACTTCGAGTCATCCCCAAGCAAAATAACGATAGAATTTATTTTACATTCTTTTGGGTTATCTGAAGTTTTTTATAACTTTTGTATTCTTATCGTGTTTTTAATCGGCAAGAGAATCAAAAAATTTCGAATTTTAAAAATGGAATTATTTTTGTAGCTATGAAAATCACTATAAATATTACGAAGATGCGCTATTTATTATTAAGAGGCAGACAGGCGAAAAAAGAGGAAATTTTTCCGCTTTTGCTTGGTTCGTTTGGTTTTCCGCTGCTAAACCCCCTGCTAATCGACTAGTACCGATTTTTCAAACCTCCAACCCAGCGTTTGTGTACGTACATATTCCAAGGTGACTTGTAGGTGGGGGGCGACGGCCACGTAGAACTCGACGGACATCTCGGCGACACCGGAGAACAGGTCGGCCCACAGTTCGGCTCCCAAATAGAAGAGGAAGGAGAGCACCATCATGAATACCTGAAAAAGGTAATCATGAACCGCAGGCCGCAACACGTACGCGTATGCTAGACAGCGTACGCGCTGCGTGTCGCGGTCCGGGAAACCGAATTTCTATCCTGAAGACCAACACTTCAAGCTCATACCGATGACACGTAATGGTAGACAATCATGAAGCCGTAGAAGAGGCTCTGGATGGTGCTCTCGCGCCAATGACCTGAAAATAATCACTTTCGATGGATCCTTCGGCACTGGACTCTTAGCGGGGGGAGGGCTTAGCCGGGAAAACTTTCCCAAGTAATACCGTATGGTCCCAGAACGAAATATACATAGTTTTTATCGCATTTTCTACGGTTTTTGATACAAAAAACCCATAATAATCTCGAAATTGTTGGTTTTTTGTTCAAAAATGATTCAAAAAATTGGGCAAAAAATTTTAAAAAATTTTAAAATTAAAAAAGTTTGTATTTATAAGTTTCTAGCAACCAAAAATTACTTAAGAAACCGCCGTAGGCGGAAGGACCAAAATTTGTCCCCCTCCGCTAACAGTCCAGTCCCGACCCTGCTCAAGCTCAATTTGACCAGAGCTCAGAAATGCCCACGTCGCGAACTGGGGGCGTAGGGCATCATTTGTGAGGGTGGGTCGACGCGAGTTCGGGCTTGAAGTTGAACGGCTCGGGCTTGGACTTGCTGCACGGCTCGGGCTTGCCCCTGCTGAACGGCTCGGGCACGCGGCATAGTCCGTTGCGCTGGAAAGACTGAATGGGCGGTTGCGAAGGATGTGCTTTGAAATAGGCTTCTACTAGTCGAACTAAATTAAACTTTTCATATTTAACATTTTTAAAGCTTGCATAAAAGTTTTTGACAAAATTATGTAAATTTATACCAAGTACTGCAGCAGACGGCCAATATGGCGCCGGGGAGCAGTAATGAATTCTTGGCCTTGAAAGTAAGTTCCGCTAACAGGATATGTAAATGACGTATGGGATTACTCGGAAGGGTATCATCAATTCCATGATGGATCGGATTTTACTGGGCTTCTGGCTGTCTATTAATATCATTACAACCACCACAATTACGGCTACAATCTTAGTACTGGTATTGAAAGTTTTCTCCGGTCTGAAAGCTGTCTTCGGGGATTTTGCTTTAAGGTATCTGATCTATTTCTAGACTTGACATCTACTTTTCTACTCGCACGACGTGGCTCGTTTTTTGGGCAAAAGTTTTTCGCAGACGTTTTTTCTCTCTCGCTTTCTCTCTCTCTCTCTCTCTCTCTCTCTCTCTCTCTCTAACTAGCTCAGTTTCCCACTCTTCATTTACACCCTCACTACCTCGTTCCTTCTCCCTTCTTATCCGTCTCGCTCGCTCCCCTCTCTCTCTCTCTCTCTCTTTCTCTCTCTCTCTCTCTCTCTCTCTCTCTCTCTCTCTCTCTCTCTCTCTCTCTCCCTCTCTCTTCATTCAAACGCCATCTTTTGCGACTCAATCCTAGGCGGCAGCGGCTTCCTATTTCCTCATCGCATGCTCAAGCAGCGGCGCATTTAAGAAACAACCGCTATGTCGATTTCATCCCACGTTGGCCATGGCTTTGATTCCTATCCTACTTCTCGCTTCCCTGATCCCAAAAATCCAGGGCCACTGCGCCATGGGTCCATTCCTTCCGTGTATGACCTTCTCCTTCCAGGTCATTAACGCAAGCTACGAAGCTGGGCATCAGCGAGTTCCGGTGGGTTTTTTAGCTCGAAAAAAAGATCCGTAAGGCATGGTTATGGATTTTCGTGGCTATGGATTGCCTACGGATTTTTCGGACCGCGACACGCACCGCGACTGCCACCGCTTCAACGAGCACTTGGGATATTGCGTTCCGTAACCGGATAACATCTCCTGAGAAGTGGCAAAGCGGCTCACGCGTTGCGTGTCGCGGGCGCGATCAAATCCATTGCGTAATCGATTACCCGCCTGTCACGGTGGCCAAATTGTTGCTCGTGTTGCGTGTCGTGTCCACTTACACAAAAATTCTTAAATGCACCTTACCGATTACTTTAATTGATTTTCCCGTCCCGCGGGAAAATTGCGTGTCGCGCCTAACCCGAATCCATAACTTGAAAATCGGTACTTCAAACCTTCTGGGCCGTTTATCCCAATGATTTGAACCTTAAGTGTACCTTTAATTATAGGGCGACGAAACCTTTAAACTCGAGCTGAAGGAGAACGACATCTGGCCGATCCCGAACGACAAATACGACGAGTGCACGGGGAATATGTATGGTGAGTCCAGGTAGAGACTTTCGAAAATCAGCCCCATCGCGTAGAAGCGAAGAGCTGCAGTGTCGTCGCCACCGACAGTCTCGAGGCAGGCTGGAACGAGTTCTACCTGAAGTTCCACGTCGATGCAGCTTACATCAAAGGGGTGTGGCCAACGGGCGTAATTCGAGAATACATTAAATTGCAGGCTGACAAGGCCCGTTGCATGTGGTTCGGCGGGCAGAACGTCTTCACCGCGACCCATCGATGTAAGTGTGGTTTTACGTTATCCAGAAAATGTGCGGCGTCACAGTTACGTTGCGGCGGAGCGGGTTCTTTTGCATAACGGGGGGGGGGATTTTTCGTATATGGCCAAAAATGCCAATATTGTTAAGATATTTGTTTTAATAGTGTTTTTCGTAAAATGTAACTAAAGTTTAAGTAAAACCATCAACAAGAACTAGAAAAATTATCAGGCGGATTTTAGTCGAAAATCGGCCATTTTTATCGCAAAATCCACATTTTTAACAATCAAAGCCGTCAAACAACGGTTCGGGCTTCCCGCGGAAGAGATATTTTTAAAACGAAACGCACGCATCACGTCCGCGTTTCGTGCCGCGGTAAATCCAAGGCCATAGCGGGCCGTCCGCCGCGGCCCGAGTGCTCGCCGTCTCTCGTCGCTGAATCACCGCGCAGCGTCAGAAACATGATAACGCTTCCCTTTCTTCTTTTTTTTCAGCCGGCCATGGCACATTCCGAATGTTCCGGGAGCCACCGTACTGCCGCCTTGACTACGCCATCTGGACCGACAACGAGAAAACTAACGGCACGATCATGTGCGAATCGTGCGACAGTTGGGAATAATTTTTATTTGTATAAAAACCAAGTTTCGTTGCTTCTTGAAGCTATATGGAGACGAGCAAATAATCCTTTATTCAAGGTCGCGAATCAATACATCGGATAATTTTGAGAGTTCTTTCAATCGTTAATCAACACACACAGTAAAGACAATTCTTAGCATTGATAAAGACGAGAAAAATCAGAATAGAATTGGCCGTGGCTTTTCTTCATGGCCACGAGCTGACGGGGCTGCTTCGATTCGGGTGCGGCTCGGGCTCTTCACGAGCAGATTTTTGGGAGGCCGCAGCAGATGAGAGCTAAAATTAAACAAAATCAAAGAAAAAACGACAGGGCTACCGGATCAGAATTCAGCCGGTCTCCCGACGTCGCGTCTTCTGCTACAGATCGTTGGCTTGGAATTGGCACCGCTGGTTTTTCGGCTGTTTCCTGGGTTGGCTCGGAGTAGCCGGAAGTCCACAAGCTGTCCTGCGTCACGCTAACCGGTACTGAAAATTGGGTTCTTTAGGATTTCCGGGGAAGTATTTCCGGGGGAAACCAAATTTTTTCCTGGTTTTCCCGGTTGACCTAGTTATCAAATATAAAGTGTTTTCCCATTGTTTTTAGTAAATTTTAACTATATTTAAAGTAGAAAAACCTTTCAAAAAAAGTTAGAAAAAATGTTTGAAAAAGTCGAAAATTGGTCATTTTGGGTCTTTCCCCCCCCCCGCTAATCCTAAAGGTTCTATAGGATTTTTCGACCTAAAATTAAATTTTTTAATTAAAATGTCGGTAGTTTTTATGCTCAGGAATAGTTAAAAACCATTTAGAAACGCATGCGCTATTTAGAAAAAAATTTAGGCTTGGGCCGAAAAAATTTGGTTTCCCCGGAAATACTTTCCCCGGAAATCCTAAAGAACCGAAAATTGTTTTAAGCTTTTTGGAATTTTCTTGGGACTAATCTAATATGTTATTACTTTTCAAAATCCATAGATATGCGATAAAAAATGGTACGCGAAAAGTGACAAGAACAAAAAACTGACATCCCTGCGCCTTCTTTTCCGCCTTTTGCCTCTTTCGCCAGCTTCTGAAGGCCTTTGCACCAATCTGCAAAATCCCGGAAGGGTTTTTGAGGTTGCGAGGCGTCCAAGACTGAGCTAAACCAGACCGAAGCTAAGCCAAACAAAAAAATAAACCTAATCTTAGGCCAAAGCCAAAGCCTACGCCTAAACTTAAGCCTAAGCCTGCACTTAAGCTTGAGTTTAAGCCTTAGCCTAAGCCTAATCATCAGTCTAATCCAGGCTTAAGTTGAAGCGTAAGCTAAAAGCCAAATCATAAGCCTACGTTTGGCCTGATGAACACGCGCCTCTTGCGCCTGCGTGTCGAACCATTGGACGAGGAAGCTAAAAATAAGTTGAGTCGTTCCAATGAGATAGCTTGTTGCTTTAACAGCTTCAAAATTATGATCCCTGCTTACAGTCATATCTGGTGTTGCAGGCATAAGATTCGAGTGTAGCTGCTGAACCGCGACGCGTCGCCCTGCGCGACCAGCTGCCCGATCCGACAGAGCCGCTCTTGCTCTTGCTTCGCTTCAACACCACAAGCTCTGCGAGATGAGCCAGGGCCGCTTCGGAGACGATGCTATAACCATGACTCGATGGTTAACTGCACGGTATGCTTACTGGTCGTAGCCCCAGCAAATCAGCTCCGCCTTGTCGAGTTTTCCGAGGAAGAGGGCGACTGAAAATGGGCTTCAGATTTACACACATTTTGAAGGTTATTGTTCAAAAAACGGTTTTCGACAGTTTCCTGCCTCGAAAGTCACGGGGCGAAAAAGTAATTTTTCGAAAATGAAGGTTTCGAAAAGGTACTCATAATTTTCCCGCCAAAAATTTACCATATAACGCCCCAAACTGCGAGCACACGTAGGCGACCAGCATGGCGAAGAAGTAGAGAAACCAGCCGGCGCCCGTTTCGGAATGCCGCTTCCGGAAGATTTGCAGCGTATCCTGCTAAACGCACTTGATCTAGGACCCTTTGCTAAAAACCGACACTAGGTCTCATTCGGAGAGTGCAAATTTTGACGCCGGGCAGCGGCTCGAGCAGCTCGTAGTCGGCCTTGCACTCCGAGGTGCACCTCTAAAACCGTATGTGTCAACATTTTCAGGTGCTGTATCTCGGCTCTCCGTTGCGCTACGGGGGGTGTAACGTATACCGAAATGCTCGTCTTGACCAGGGCAGCATTTTGCTAAACCCTACGTCCCAATAAAACATTGAAAACCGAAAGGGGAAGAATCGAAAATTACCCCCTCTTGATCCCGAATCCCATGAAGACACTCCTTGCAGTTCGACGGCCCGTAGCCGGTACAGCCGAGACAGTCCGGGTGGCACTGCCGGCAGTAGCCCAGCGCGTCCGTGAACTCGAAGCTGAACACAAAGAAGTCGGCAAGTTGGGTACGGCTCACTCCAAATGACAGCCAAAGTGCAGTTCCGGGACGCGGCCCTCGATGCATTCTTGCCGGTCGTCTTCTAGAAACCAAGAATTTTTATGATGTAAGTAGGTAAGTAAGTACGTGTCACTGACGCTCAATCCAAGTTCGCACCTTCATCCGTCAAATTCGAGCGCCAGTACAGCGTTTGGTTGATGATACTCGCGTAGTCGGTGAAGCCCTGTAGGCGATAGTGGGCGGGGAGTTCGTCTTTCTAAACTTCGTAGTTTTCGCTGTTAAAAAGTCACACACCCATTTGCATACTTTGCACGCGACCGGCTCGTGGCACAGGATACAACGGCCCAGCTTTTCGTCGGCAAACGAGCCGCTAAAATGACTTTGATGACGCGTTTGCTCTGCCAGGCTCTTCTCATGAAAAAGGCCAAAAGTTTAACCTACTCTGGGCAATCCGGAATACAGTATCCCCGCATGTCCTTGTAGTAGCCGGGCAAGCAAGTGGGGCACGGCTGCAACGGGCACGGTCTTGAAAGCTAAGCTATCGACGCTTACATGGAAAAGTGTAGCGGTCGCCGGGTCACAATGGTCGAGGCACTTGTTGTCACGGCAAAATTTGGGATATTTTCCCCACAGCGGCACGCTGAGCGAGGCATTATTGATATGCACCAAAGACCGTCAAGTAGGCCATAGCTTTTAAAGGGAGAAGCAAGGCGGGCTTATGGATTTCGTAGTATCCCACACAAAAAGTTCAGTACCGCAATGCCTTGCCCGTCCCTTTAAAAACCACAGCCTACTCCTTGGCAGCCTCGCGCCGTTCCTCGATCGACTCCCACAACTCCGACCACAGCCACGTGGTGATGCGCATGAAGGATATGGTACGATAGAATCTCTGGAATTGGGGAATTACGGCCCTAGATTTGCTTTACGTTGGTAAAAAACTCCAAAAATAAGAGCCTAGGCCTCGACGACACCGAAAAACCCGCCTCCAATTTTTTCCTCGCGTATGCGATAAAGACCGGGGTGAACTTGGTGACGTCCGGGGAGGGCGGATCTCCGGGCAGGATGCCACAGCGCAACTAGGACGGCGTGGTATTTCCGTTACTTTCGCTGATACCAGCAATGATTGTTCATCTATGAAGGCGAAAAAGTAGCATCCGTGGCATTCAAGGTTCGATGGTCCCCCTAGGATACGGATTTTACTTTCACAGATACGAAGGGGGTAAGTACGATGTAATACTACGCACAGCACGTCCTGCAGGTGTAGTGGCATCGTCGGCAGTAGAACGGAAACTTGTTGGTTGGGTAGGTTCCGGGCCTGAAGGTGTAAATTGAGCAGAGCACGCCTAGGCTTCAGTCTTGGCTGAAGCCTAATCCGGAGCCCAATCCGGAGCCGAAGCCTAAGCCTAATCTAAGCCGTAGCTAAGCCTAAACTAAGCCTAAGCCTAAGGCCAGGCCTAGGCCAATATCGATGAGGCTAAACCTGGGCCTGTCCCGAAGCCTAAGAAGTCCTCACGGGCACTCATAGTGGCAGGTGGCTCGGTGCTCGTTGCGATCGAGTAGTTTGAAGAGCCCGCGAGCGCACTCGATGCATTCGGTGCTGAAAACTTATCGAGGTAGTTTTGTAACGCCCAATTGACCGGGTTCAGGTATCGAAAAATTCAACTCAAAAACCCACGCTGTACAGTCGCGGCACCATTTCGGACAGTCGACGCATCGATCCGTGTTTTCGTCAAAGTAGGAGCCCCTGGAATTGTATTTTGAAGCGGCCCGTGAAGCGGCACCTCTTGCACATCTGAACGCATCGCTGCCGGTGCTTGTCCTTCGACAGCAAATAGCCGCGCTCACACCTCGTGCATACCGACTCCTGAAAGAAGGCCTTGACGTCCACATTTCGTGTTTTCATACCGTAACCTTGGTGGTGGCTTGGCACGTCACGCAATGTGGCAGGTATTCTTGGCACGGCATGCAGCGGCTGTATAGCAGGAACTCGTCCCTAAAAAGGCAAGCTAAAAAGCGGCAAAAGTGGAAAAATCCAGAAAACCAAGGACCAATGACCTAAAGAAATTCGTTGAAATGGCGTTGAAAAACTTCGTAAATTTCAAAAATTCAGAAAACTGAAGGTTCTAATGCGTAAAAATCCTCACGAATCACAGTAGGGCCGGGGTGTCAGGATCTCCTCGAGGCTGTAGTCTGACGTCTTCCCGGGGGGCAGCAGCGGGTCGCAGTGCGAGTTGTTGAACGTCGGCAAGAAACCGGGCTGGCACATTGTGCAACTCTAAACGTTGGTGTATTAATCAAATTTAGCTCTTACATCCGGGAACATGCAACGCAAGCAGTTCTTTGGGCACGGGCGACACAGCTCGCCTAGTTGCCAGTTGGTGCGCTCGAAGAAGCCCCTGTAAAATTGGGGTACTTTTGAATTATCGGGGGGAGACTTTTTACATTGGGTTCAGTAGGCGGAAAGCAGTACATCTTGGTACGAGATATACCAAGCCGAACCTTCTCAAAAATTACTCAAAAACCATACTCAGGACAATATCGCGGTGTCGGAATCACCTCCATCGCCGACAACCGCTCATACGGAGCGTCGCGTAGCTGTTGCATCAGCCAGCCGTCCTCGTGGCTGGGCACGCAGGAGAACGGGCTGAAATTGTTGTTGGTCAGCCAGTTCCCAGTAAGCCAGAACCTATTCGACTTGGGCGGTCTGTACTCCCATCCGGCCGGGCAATTGACGCATTCCGACACCATGGTCCTTTGACAATGATCGCCGTACCAGACAAAATCGCTCTGAAAACCCGTTTTCAGGGGATTTTAGGGGGTATTTAGACGTTAAAAGTTTGTCTATACAAAAAACACATAAATTTTTTAATACTTTACAAAAATGGCAGCCTTTTTCAATTAAAATGCATAAAAAAGGCCCCAAGGCCACAAATTTTCAGATTTTTACAACTTTCAACCTGTCCCCTTTTTGATTTTTCACTTCCTAGAGATTCAAAACTACCAAAAACGCTGAGGGCGCTAGATAATATTAAAACGTAGGTATAGATGAAAAATAATGATCGGCTCCTCCCCCCTCCCCCCGTTAACAGCCATATATCGCAAAATTCACAACGAATTCAAAACCAAAAATCCATGGAATCTGATTCCTCTTTTACGGCCAAATCAAGAGCTTGTGAACCTTAAAAGTATCGGAATCCCACTTACGCTCTCATTGGTGGGCGCCAGGTCTTGATATTGATCCCAGCAAGCGAGGCCATGTCGCCAGGTTATCCCCTCATATCCCCACCACAACGCTGCCTTCACTTTGTGCACCAGGAATGTGGAGCTGGAAAAGGCTCAATTATGCTTCAACTGGTTCTGGTTCGTTGTCGGGGGGGGGGGGGGGCTGTACCTGGTCTCATAAATGCTGTCCACACTCGCGTCGTTGCACACTACCAGCCCGCCGGTCTCTGTACTGCAAGAGTACAAACTACAAAAGATCCAATGGCTCCTACAAAGCACGCTTCGACTTTGGGTCACAGTAGTGCTGTCCGGCGCAAGTGTACTGCACGAGGAGACGATCCTTGATTTTGGATATCGGGCTAGATCAAAATTGAACCTTCACTTGTGAGCCACAAACGGCCAAGAGGCAGACGAACAATAAGAATTTGAACCTCATGACTTGGCCGTCTTCAGACGAGGCGCATGGCGGCTGTGCGATTTTTGCAAGATTTTCCGATGCAGAGTTAGGATGCAAATTAGGTGGACTGAATTCTCGAACCACAGAGCATCAGAGAGGTCGGCCGAGTAAGAAACAGGTCGAGCAAGTGAGAGAGAGAGAGAGAGAGAGAGAGAGAGAGAGAGAGAGAAAGATCATTGGGAGAACTCAGGAGGACTGGTTAAAACGCTAAAAGCCAGCCGATCTCGTATTCCAAAATTAAAATCGCCTCCTGATTTGCATTTTCCGGCAGATTACGACAAAATTCCATTCATCACTCCATTCCGGCTATGCCCAGGCAACCAGCCCGGCGCCCCCCACAGCGATGATCCCCGGGATCTTTCCGTTGCTTCTTCGGTTGATCCAGTCGAATCCGGCGGAAATCGTAAATTACCGAGATAGACTTCACCATTCCGGTTCAGCACCCGCCAGCCCTGAACCTAACCCATCAATGCGTGGATGCAGAGTGTGATCGTATGCATGACTTGTGGGGTCTTAGGATATGCCATATAGGACAAAATTTAGGACAGAGACGGGCGGGTTGGTGCCGTGCTTCGGCCAAGACATGGAGAATATTTATCAATACGGGTTAGTGCCAGCCGATTTTTGATGTTTTACGAGCTCTACTTCAGCCTCACAATATTCCCGGTGCGCCAAACAACAATTTATGGCCGTACATCGCAATCGGTTACCACGACGATCCATTGCTCTCAATATCAGCTCAAGATGACGATGTCGGGTGATCGCTTTGTAAGTAGTACGACGCACGACGCCGCCGCCGGTTCTGGACTCTTAGCGGGGGGAGGGGGGTAGAGACTAACAAATCGATATCCTCTCTAGACTTTAACATAGTTTTGAATTACATAAAGTTGACAAAAGAAAGTGGTACTGTAGGACTGGCGGGGGGGCTTTTCCTGGCTTCCAATTTAGGTAGCAATTATATATAAAGTCCTTTTTATTTTTTAATTCATTATTGTCTTGACCATATTTTAAGTGCAAAAAGTCTGAAAAAATTGTAAGTGTTTGGGAAGGTGGGAAATGACGTCATTTTGGATCAAAAAAGCACTCCACGCCGCAAAGGAGGGAAATTGCCTCCCACGGCACGGGCCGGCAGTGCCCGCGGTCCCTACGTCCATAGGGTGTACACGTTGGGACGAGTACACGGCCCCTCCCTGAACGTGCGCTTTAAGACACGATTCTTGACGCGCCACTTGCAGGAGGACGTCTCCCAGCCGGATGGCTACTGTCCGACAACGCAGGACGACTCATGCGACGAGTGCCCGATCGGATCTCGCCCTACCCATCCCGGACCGTACTTGGGCAATTTCAGACCGAAACGGCGCTTTAGGACTTACAAGGAGGCTTGCGAGTTGGTACAGATCGCGCTTGGCTATCGCTACAAACCCCGCTACCCATTCTACATCAAAAAACAAAGCAACGCGTGGCTCATCGCACACAGCGCCGATCCGCAGTGCCCAGCGTAGGGTGCCCTTTGAAGATTCTGGTCTCAACTTGTGAGGTTACAGTGGGACATACCAGGGTGATTTCGACAAGGACGAAGGCGTGAGGTGCGACCAGAAATGCCCGCGTAACTGCATAAAGTGCTACGCTGCGAAGGTGGGTGTTTTCAAGTGACGTTCGCTTAGGTTTAGATGCTCTCTAAACTTTTTCGGTTCTGATGCGTTAGCGGGGGGATGCGATTAAAATAGGCCCTAAAGACCAGGGTTGTTCATCGCGCCCCGGGCCAAAACTTTCGAAGCCTATATCCTGGCGGGCATTGTGCCTAGCGGCATGAAAATTGGTGGAGTTGCAGAGTGAAGGGAGAGGAACGTTTTCGCAAAGATTTGGTATGGCCAAAACACCATCTAGCCTTTTCCAGATGTGCCTCCAATGTGAGGCCGGCTTTCTACCGGCACTGGCGGCCGACGGCAGCATTCGATTTTGCGTGGGCGGCACGGAGCTGATGGGCGATTCGCGGATGGCGTCGACGTGTCCAGGGTGGGTATCGATTCGCGTGGTGTTGAGTCGAAAACATGCTGTGCAGGGGCTACATCCGGACCGGCGACCTCTGCTGGGCGTGTAGGGATCTGTTCCCGAAATGTGTCGGCTGTGATGTGGGGTTCTTTTGTTGCTATAAGGTTTCTCAGCAGAAACCTCAGCCTAAGCCTAAATCTCTATTCTCCCGGACCAATCTTAAATTACAGCGGGAAGGTCGATGCATCCAATGCGAACGGGGCTACATCCCGATCCATGGCCACTACCGGGTGACATGCGTGCGACTTTGCACAAGGTCCAAAAATTCCTTTACTACTTTGCCCGACTGATCTCCGTTCTGGTTCGTTAGCGTGGGGGAGGTGTCGGGGAGAGGGGCAAACCCCCCGCTAACGCACTAGAACGATATTTTCCAGAGGTCAATTCTACAATGCGACGACGACACGCTGCGAAAGTTGCCCGCCCTGGTGTCGCCATTGTAGCTAGTGAGTGCTGGATACGACACAAAAAACGCGAAATCCTGCCATTCTAGCCTTGGCTGTCTGGAGTGCGCCACCGGGCTCTACAGTATGCATCAGCACATCCAAGATAACACCGTCATTTGCCGCTACAGTTGCCCGTGGGGACTTCCCGTACTTTAAAGCCTTAGGGCGTCGAATTTTTGGCACTGGGCTGTTAGTGGGGGGAGGGTAATTTTTACTTTCGGTCTATTCCCAGCTGTTACTGAAACTAATACTGTTCGTGTATTCACTGTATTTTACTTTTTCTGGTAGTTTTTGATTGTTGGAAGTTATAGGGTATCTTCAAAACTCTGGAAAAACATTTGTGTGCCCCCGCTAATGGTCCAGTACCGGTTTTTCAGGTTGCACTATTACCCGCTGAATTATTTTCCATTCCGCTGCGAGCCGTGCCACCCGTCGTGCTGGGGATGTCGTAAGTTTCGTTGCTTTATTCGCGGCAGTGTGGTCTCGACAAATTGTGGAGTTTAGGAGGCCCAACCGACAGGGACTGCCTCGACTGCAAAACCGTCGGCTTTTGGGACATGCGGGCGGTTGGTCCGGATTTGTGTATTGAGTTTCTAGCAAATTGTTCAGCTTAAGTGTGACAGCTCAATGAATCGCAACATCTTGAATGCACAAGATTTGAAGAATCTCAGAGGGGCGCGCGAGGAAGTAGAGGTAGGAAATCGAGGCGATAAAAGCATTGAAATATTGACAACTTGGTATTTCAAAATTTATTAATGTAGTATTTTATTTCGGCGAAATAAAATTTCGGCATAATGTTTTTCGGCGAAATGAAAATCTGCCCATGCCAACATCGAAAATCGTCCAAAATTCAGAATATATACGACCGCTCCAATCTCCGAATTGGATTTACGCGCACGGGAGCCGCAATGTTCGCTCGTCGTTATAACCGGTGGGGAGCACCCAACCTACTGTAATGTTTACACATCAGAGATTTCGAGTTGCCGGGATATTGCGACGATTGTCGGCATTGCACGAAAACGTCGAATTATGAAATCCTTGTGGTAGGTGACGGGGAACATGAAATACGGTTCTGGGGCATTAGCCGGGGGGGCCTAGCGGGAAGATATTTTTTGTGGATATTTTCTCTATCCCGGCTATTTTTCCTAATCGAACATCCGGGTAGTTAAAATGCTTCCCCCCCTCCTGCTAGCGTAGCAGAACGCAGAATTTTAGCAATGCGTCAACTGCGAGCCGGGCTATTGGAACGATTTTCGCGGTTATTGTGACAACACATGCCCCAAGTCGGACCCTGTCTTTTGAATGACAGTCTGTTTAGTGGTACCTTTAAAGGGCTGCCCGATGGATGTGTGCCGTGCCACGACCCGGGACGGTGCAATCGGTGTGACTGGGTAATTATCGAATTTTTCTTTTTCATCACCGTGGCATTTTTTGGTACTGGACCGTTAGCGGGGGGGGGGGCACAAGGGACTAATTTTTTCAGTAACCTTTACGACTGAAAAACAACCTAAAAAGGGAGCTGACAGAACAATATCTATTTTTCGACCACCGAGTCATTGGAACGGATTCGAAAAGACCCGGACAAGTCGCTACTGAACGCGGACTACAGCTTTCACTCGGACAGTGAGTTCTCGTTGCGCTAGTCGCAGCACATCAAATGTCAGTCGGCATCGACCAGGTGTGCCTAGAAGCCGTTCACGAAGACTACGCGCACACCTGTGATCCGATGTGGGCTTTGGTTTTAATGGCAAAATCAATTATCCTCAGTGCCCATTTCGAGGATCAGCTGGGCCACTGTCTGCCCTGTCATCAGGAATGTCTCGGATGTACCGGATACGGGCCGGCAGCGTGCAAAAAGTGTCGACACGGAATCCGGGATGCCGAGGGGTAAAAATGAGACATCAAAGTTGCCTTCTACCAACGTTTCGGTACCGGTTCGTCAGGGGGGGGGGGGTTGTGGGCTTAAGGCGACGATCCTTTGGCTTATTCTGACAGAAGTTTCGAATGTTAAATACACACGTTTTAAATAGGTTTCTGCGCCGTTTTTAGGTGAAAAACGTTCAGAAAATCGCCTAAGTTCTGTAAAATTTGCATTTGAGTTCATCGACAAAAATGTCATATTTTCAAATTTTTAAAAATTTGCCAAATTGTCCAATAAAAAAATCACCCCAATTTCCAGAAAAATAGACTATCAGACGCTAAAAAAAATGGCTTAATAAGCTTGTATATACTTTTTTCAGAGATGCGTCCCCGAATGCCATCTGAAGGTCGGCTACCACATGACGTCCCCCATACCGGGAATGAGCTTTTGCGGCTGGGAGCCTTTGTCGAGTTCGCATGTGGGTTTTTTTTTAACTTTTCTATTCATAATTTTAGTTGCCGCCAGGCTACGCACCAAGAATCGAGTTCTCCATCGAGTACCCTGCCGTCCACGTCGGCGTCGAGCTGCTGGTGCTCGCCGGGTTTTTCTGCTACTTTACCGTCCACGCGATGGGGTTTTATGGTATTTTGTAGCTAGTCATATTACTCGTCGACGATTATAGCATCGATGTTCTTCGGCGAGCTCGACGACGCCGACCTGATCTGCTGGCGATACGAGGAGTGAGAACGTCGAAAGCGACTTCAACAACCCGCGATTTTCAGCATCGTACAGGAAGCCGCACTCCGTGAGCTCGAGTACCTGGTGTTCCTGCGGAAAACGAGGACCGGAAGCAGCAGCTCGTTCGGCCCGACGTCTCCGCCACAGGCGCGCAGCTCCGACACGGTGCCAGCTGTTCCATGTGAATACTACACCCGATTTTTCAAAATCCATTTACAGCTTCTTCATCCAATTCGAAGAAGGCGCTCGGGCCGCTCGCGGAGCCGAAACCGCGCGTCATCGTCCGCCCAAATGTGAGAATTCCCTGTTCCAAAAAATTGAAGTCTTCTGATTTTCAGCTTCGTACACAAGCTCGTCTCAACATGCGCCTGAAGCGGAACCTCGAGCTCCGGAAGGAAGAAGCGAAAAAGCTAAAGGCCAAGTCCAAGTCGAGGAGTAAATCATGTAATTTTCTGAAGACTTTTCCCTGAAACAATTTGTGCTTTTAGTGTCGCTGGGCACGACACAGGAGAGCCACCAGGGAACCCTCGACGCCAAGTCGTTTAGCCGAGAGACAGGCACTGGAGAGCGGACCGGGACGAAGACTACGATGTACACCATTGAACACCCGGCGACGGTCGCCACGACGATGCGCACCGTCGAACAGCCCGCACCGGCTACGCCACACACCTCTGAACGTCGGACGACGTCGGCAGCGACGCCATGCCCAAGTTCCACCGATTTGGGCAGTCACTCGGCTCCGGCGCTGGTTAGTTGTTGAACATGGGGGTTCTAGCGTATCATGAGTATCCTACGAACAATTGTTCTGAAGCCTTTAGACTCTACCTGGAGCTGAAATGTCACGATCCCTTTAAAACCCATCTTGCAGGCAACCAGCACTTCCGGTGATGTTTCTCCGCCGAACCCGAATCGAAGCCACAATTCTTCGGCTTGATCTGGCGGCCGCTCATCGACTCCTCAACGTTAAAAACGACAAATTCAAATCAAGAAAACTTTCAACAGGTGTTCCAAATTACTATTTACCGCCAATAAAGCGTTGTGTGATTGTTTCGGATTTTTGTTCGCATATGAGCTTACTGTACGTTCACGTCTTACTGTCCCCCCCCCCGCTAAAGAACCAGAACCCGCACGATTTTAAGACATATCAAACGAAGTTTGGAAATTGGGTGAAGCTAAGCATCCCCCGCTAAGGGAAAAGCACCTTATCCCGCCCGGTAAGCGGCTATGAGACTGATGCTTTCGGGCCCTTGCGACGAACCTGATTTGCATAGAAAAATCTACGAATAATTTGAATAAATTTGATTTTGCAAGTGGGCTCGATTAATAGCTGATTTTCTCAAATTCAGCGATGTCTCCCTCCTCCGTTTGATGGATGGGCCCACAACATGGGGCCGTGCTAATTTTTCTGCTCTATTACCCTGTTGCTGCTCAGAATTTGGTCCGAAATTCCACATTTTCGGATCATCTTCTCGTTCTAGATTTTACAGCCCTTTAATCTTTCGCGGAGCTGTCGAGTCCCGGATTGTGGATATCCGCTGTAGGATACTACAGCTGGAAAAAAGTTAAGGTTCAGAACCGAAACCGGTGGTCTCGTACCGTGCTTTGGGCAAAACGTCGACGATTTCTACACAGACGCGTGGGTTCTTAGTTATACTAAATTTTTCCTTTAATTTGAGCGGTACTGGGCCCTTAGCGGGGGTTGATAGCAGTGCAATTTTTATCGCCTGTGCCTCCAAACTTTTGATGAGGTATTATAGGACATTTTCTAATGTCTTAGAAGCTTTTGCTTGCTGTCATTAGTTTAATAATTTTGAAAATTCGGAAATTTTGGACCGTTTTAATGAATTTTGCTACAATTTTAGTCATAACTTTGTTAATTTTTGAGATTTTATCGAATTTGTAAGTGCTTTTTATGGCTGAAAACGGTGAAAAAAGCTTGCCCCGCTAACGGCCCAGTACCTATTTATCTCCATTTAGTTTCACCGACTTCCCTGTCCTCAAGCTCACGTATTCCCTGGACGAACAGTGGGCTGAAATGGCCCACCGGTGCTGGAACCCATTCCAGAACTTTGCCCAGTCCAATATGGCGGTATGGACGTCCTATTCTGCCTATATCCGTATTTTTTTTCTTAGATTGACTACGAATGGAACGGTGGCAATTGTATGGTGTCGGGCCCTAGTTTTGGTAGTAGCATTTTCGTGAAAATTTACCCCTTCGTTAGGCGCTGAAAACATCACCTATCGCTGCCTCTCTTGCCCCATCGGCTATGACACGGAGCTGTGGACAAGGTATCGGAAATCGGGACCGGAAATACGGGTAAAAATGACATTTAGCTCTGAAGGTCATACTTGCAAACAAAGCTACTGGTTTGGCGCCCAGCTGCTCTTGCCGCGGAACTTCCGGGATTTGGAGGAATTGCGATGGAAGCCCCGGGAAGGCTACTGTTCAAGGTATGAAGTGACAGGTGTTTGTGCATTATCGGGGGGGGGGGTTTCAATTTTTAATTTTCTCAGGAATTTTAAAGTTTTTAGATAGCTTTTCCACTGTTGTTGCACCGGGGGAAACCAACTTAGCGCTGTAGTATCCAATTTTTAACCCACTGGAAAGTGTTGTTAAACTCGTTCTTACAATTCTTAAACGGCAAAATGTTACAGATTTTTATTTTAAAAAAACGAAAATACGGTTTTTCGGAGAAAAATGGCCGCAAAGGGGTGCTTTCCACCAAATTCTCGCATTTAAAAAATATTTAAGTTTTTAGCCACTTTATCAAGTCGAAATATAGCCAAATTTTCCTAAAAGCATTATTAAAAAGTTTGTGATTACGCTAATGTGCATTTCTGGATTTATACAAAAAAGTTTTGCCTTCCGACCATTCCCCCCCACCCGAAAATGTAGAAGCTCCGCGTCATGATGAGGCTTTTTATGTGGTTTAGGCCCGTTTAGGCTAGTCAAAGACTCTATTTGCTTTCAGTGGAAAAGTGCTTGGTAACGACCCGGCACATTGTCACAGATGCCCGAAAAACTATCAACTCTGTGCTGTTCGGAAGGTGGGTTTTTAGGTTGTTGATAAATTATTGGCATACAGGAATGCATCCGATGCCGACCCGACTTCCAGCCCACCTACGACAACCACGCGTGCGTCCCCGCACCTCATCCCGGCCAGATTGTACCCTGTAAAAAGTAGGATTGCTGGCTGGGTTGCTTTCTATACAGAATTTCAGGGACTCGATGCTCTTCGGGATTCGCTGCGTAAAATGCGCCAAATTCTTGCGGAACTGCAAGCGCTGTGGAGCCGTTTCGCTTGGTGGAGGCCAGGTGGGAGTTGTCGGTCCGGGAGGGGGGTCCTAGTGGTGCAGAAAGCCTACTTGGCGGAGAGACGCCGCATTATCCAGCTTTCACACAAAATTTTTAAGTATCTAACAAGCACAAAAGTCCTTAGAAAAAATTTCGAGGTGTCTAATTTTACAACGTTTTTATGACTTTTTCGAAACAAAAACCACTGAGGAAAGGAGACTGAGAGGAAAATAAAACGCTCAAAAATTACCGCCGCCACCTCCCCCTCGTTATCAACGCAGTACAACTTGTTTAGCAAGAATTCGTATGCGAGAAGTGTGAAACCGGCTACTTCCTGAGCAGGAACCACCGCTGGCAAAAGTGTACGAAGCTTTGCAACGTGTTCGTTTGTAGATTTCGTGGTCTTTGACGTATCTTCAGGGGCTTCTACTACCACAAGAAAAATCGGGCATGTGTCCGGTGTCCGGGATGGTGTCGCGAGTGTGATAGGTTGGTGTCCAGCGTTCCTAAACGCAATATTGCAGGCACGGTTGCACAAAGTGTGCGAGCGGTTTGTACAACTATCGCAGACACTTTGATAGTCGACACGTCAAATGCTACCACCAGTGCCCGTGGGTTTTTTCGTTGAAGAAGGATTACAAATTTCATGGTTTGAGCGGTAGCATTGGCCCACAAAAAAATATACGCAGCTCTGCAAAGTGGGCAAAGCGACTTTGAGCATGAACTCACGCTTTCTACGCTTCGATTTCAGAAAAATGACATACCCGGTGAACCGTTTTCCGTTCCGATGTGAGCGGTGCGCACCAACGTGTCGTGATGGATGCTGTAGGAATTCCGGAAATACCGTAATCTTGCTCCAGTTGGCCCCTCCCGCCAAGAGTGCTTTCGGTGCTGGCTGAACAGCGAGGTCAACAAGAACGGGATAATGGTTGGTGAAGCTCTGAAGGTTCCAAACCGATACGTGTTTAGCCAACCTGCCTTCCGATGGACCGTACGATACTGGAAGGGGTGAAGATGATAGCAGCGGAGTGGCTGCAGCTGGTCTACCTGGGCGTGCTGACTCTCTCGCAAACGGTGAATTCGGATTCTCAGTCGCGAAAGCTCTTTAGTTCGTGCTCAAAACATCGCATGTCGTGCTCAAAAACCTGACGAGCGCAACGAGCATCTACAGCCACGAGTTCTCGAGCTGGGAGCAGACGATGCAGTACTACAAGGAGTGGGTGGTCCAGGAAGGCGGGATGGGGACGTGAATGTTGGAGTGTCAAAAATCAAATCAAAAACTTGTTGGAAAAAGCTGCGGACGGTATCATACGCGCGACGCACCCACACGCAGAGCACGCACACGTAACGCACACGGAACACACGCAACGCCCAGGCAACGCACACGCAAAGAGCACTCAAACGCCCCTATTCGCAATTTCACCACGTTTCCCCTTCAGCATGCCGCTGGTCAAGAAGTACGCGCCGTGGTGCAACGCGAGCACTTGCCTGGACAATTGCGAGAAGCCAGACCACCCAGACTGGGACGCGAGAATGTATTTTCATGTGGGGATCTCTTACTTATTTTTAAAGGGCTTCGAAAGCCTAGTCTATCCTTGTCCCATTGGCGCCTGAAAATCTCCAGTCATGACCGCAACGATAGTTGTTTAGCCCTGCCCTACCTGCCAGCCCGGCTACTTGAAGGACCTCTGGGGAAACTGTGTCAGCGAGTGCAAAAAGTGGCGTCCTCTTCACTTAATAATCCCTTAAAATCTAGCGGTACATTCCGCGACGACGTCCTCCAGCGCTGCATCATGTGCGAGGAGCCGATGAAGTGCAACAAGTGCGGATGGGTGGGTGGAGGTCCTTCAAGCTGAACGTTTTTCAGAAGCCTCAGATGCTCGAGCACTACCTGGCGCGCGGGCACAGCAACTACTCGCTGATCGTCGATATTCCGATGTACTGGGAATCGAATGTTACAGAAGGTGGTAAATTCGTTTCTGTATATCGAAAACTAAGGTTCAGAAGACCGGCGACAAGAGTGCTACGAGGTGAACAACCACCGACCGGGCTATGGGTGTAACTTGGAGTGGGTTGTAGAAGAAACGGCGAGGGAGAGAGAGAGAGAGAGCGAGAGAGCGAGAGAGAAACGGCAAGAGAGAAATAGAAGCAACTTTTCCGTCTAGAACAACGTACGAAGACCAACTCGGATTCTGCCGTCCCTGCCATCCAGAATGTATCGGCTGTGTCGGTGACTCGGTCGACCAGTGCATCAAATGCCGCAATTTTCGGGATCCGAGAGGAGTGATAATTTTTCTTCATCTTCCCTTCAGCTTCAGCTTCTTCACCAATATATATTTTTCCAGCGCTGCGTCCGATTTTGCGCCGAGGAGTACGACTTGGCCGAGCCGTTCCCCGACATCAAAGTGTGCACGTACGCGGCCCCAGGCTACGCCAGACCGGTCAGCTTAATACAAGCACTTCGACGTCTTCGGCTTTTAGGCAAGTCACAAGCTAAGCCATGCATTCGAAAAGGCCCTCTACGATCTGAACCTGTGGCTTCAACTCGTTGCCCCAATTTTCCTCTGCATCTACCTGGGGATCCAGCTCTTGGGCGTCTACGGTAATTGATCTGATTTTTGGCCAGAATCTGAGCATCTTATAGGCGCTGGCTTCACCGGTGAGATCGACGACGCCGAGCTGTTGTGCTGGCGCTATGAAGAGTTCAGAATCCTACAACTTCCGTTACACCACCCTTTCTAGTGTGATCCGCGAGGCAGCGTGGGCCGAGCTCGAGATCTGGGTGTTTTTGAGAAAGACGAAGAGCAAGAGCAGCAGCTCGCGGGACCGCACGCTGTTGACGTCGGTGCTCGGGCTCTTGAGGGTTACCAGTAAGCCCTCTAGGCAGCAACTTTTCATGCGTACACTTAGGCTCCACCTCCAGCTCGGCTCATCCCTGGGTGTTCGGCTACAACACTGCCCAAGTCATCATTCGGCCAAATGTGAGTCTTTGGAAGGCGTTTCAAGCTGCCTTTTGAGCTTCACCGCCGAGCCCGGTTGAACATGAGGTTGAAGAAGGCGATCAGCACTCGGTCAGGCTACGTCACTGCCATCAGGCCAACGTGTAGGTTTTTTAGTCTACATTTGAGGCTAAAACTGTTAGCTTTTGATATGAAGCTTAACCTAAAGCCGAGGTTAGAAAGGAGCTAATCGCCTATTTCCAGTGGAGACGGCCACGACTCAGGACAGCCGGCCGGGCACCGACGACGCCGAAGCGTGCACCAACGAGCCGCTGACGACTGGGACCGGGACAGCCGATGGTCCTTCTCGACATCCCGAATGTGTTGAAGTTGATGCTCCAGATCGCGTCACCAGCCTGACGACTGAGGAGACGGTACGAAATCAATTTCTGAAAAATTTTAATTTCCCCAGGTCCCGCCCAACAAACCCGAAAAATCCAACAACTCGTTGCCGTATGAGAGCACGGCAACGACAGCTGAGAATACGATAGTAATTTTTCATGGGTTTCATGTCCTCAAAACCCTTAGATCCCTGCGACCTGGTCGATCAGAGAGCTGAAGAAAAGTACAACGACTTCCCCTTCTCATGCTAGGAGTAGGAGCATGACTTCGACAGTGGAGAATACTATCGTGAGTTTACCAACTCGAATTGAGCCGCTGATTTAGTCGGCCGAGACGATCCTTTCAGCTAACGCCGATTTGCCCAGACCGTTCTTCGAATCAAAGCACCACGACGACGCGTTCACGTCCGAAGAGCACGACATCGACTACGGAGAATACGATGGTACGTTCGGACGCGCTTTTTCATCGTCACGCTCTCTCTATCTCTCTCTCTCTATCACTCTCTCTCACTCTCTCTCGCGTTCTCTGTCTCTCTCTATCTCTCGCTTTCCAGACTGCCCGAATGGATGAAGCCGAAAATCCACCGCCTACCCCAGATCGAAACGACTGGTGATCGACTCGATGGCCCGCGACTAAACTCGCCGAAACCTACCCGATCGATACTTTTAAAGCCTTATCAATTAACAACCGTTTCAATTACTGTTCAACCAAAATATTTACTGCGTGTTGGATAAATATTTTTCTACCTGTTTTTCTGGCCACTTCTCGATTGTTTTGTGGCCGCTTTTGGTTTATCTTTTTTTGGCCACTGAGGACAGAAAATTCACATCAGATGCAGCAGATGGCCACACGAAAGAGCAAAAATCTTTTATTCATTGCCGCGAATCAATACAACGGATCTGACCTCGGATCCCACCTTAATTAGCTTACCGTCCAGTAACGTTACCTTAATCCGCATTCCAGAACAAAATGCCATTTTCCCAGCATTCCGACTATGCCCGGGCCATCCACCCGGCGTCTCCCACAACGATGATGCCCTGGATCTTTCCGTTGCTTTTCCGGATCATCCTGGCGGCTATACTTCGCCCGCCACCCTGGTGGGCCCCCCCAAAAGGTGGGCAGCGGTGGGGGTGGAGGGTGGGCGCCGGGGGTGGGGGGAGGGTGGGGGGTCGGGGTGGAGAGACGACCCCCCCCCCCTCCCGCCAAGGAAAGCCATCAAATCTACAGTCGAGAAAATAGATCACATAGGTAATGAAGCTGTTGATAGCATCTTAGTTAGTAATTTGGGTTCTGTTCTATTTCGCGTGGGGGAAAAAACTGTGCGGGGGGGAAATTTTCTTCCTTTTGTTATAACTCTTTTATATGATGTTATTTTGAGTTGTCATTAAAACTCTCAGTATATTTTTTGACGCTCTATCGAATGGCATTAAAAAAATTTTTCAAAGTTATCGAAAATGTCGAAAACTAGATTTCGACTCCATGATCCCATGTGGAAACACCGAATAAACCTTCTTTTGCTATAACTATTTTATAAAACAATATTTTTAGATGAAATTAAAACTCTTCGTATATTTTTTGATGCTCTATCGAATGACGGGTTCAAAATATCGAAAAAATGGCGAAAATGCCGAAAACTAACATTCCGGAACCAATTTCAATAGCTTTTTTTGTTTTTGCTATAACTTTTTTATATTACAATATTTTTAGCTAAAACAAAAACTCTTAGTATATTTTTTGATGCTCTATCGAATGGCGTTGCAAAAATCCCGAGAAAATAGCGAAAAGATGGAAGGTTCCGCGAAGCATATTTCCCCCCCCCCCGCCGCACAGTTTTTTCCCCCACGCGAAATAGAACAGAACCGTAATTTTTTATTGCTAAAAAGGAACATAAAATTCTTAACAAATTTGACCATCTTTGGCCATTTTTCATACATTTTTGATAAAAAAAGTCAATATTTTCCGTAAATTTTTATGATTTTGATTCCGTGATGTTCAGCCGAGAGACAGGCACTGGAGAGCGGACGGGGACAAGGACTACGATGTACACCACTGAGCGCCCCACGACATTAGCCACGATGCAAACGATCGAACAGCCCGCCCCCGCTACGCCACACACCTCTGAACGTCGGAAGACGTCTGCAGCCGAGGTCGGCGCCCAGACGCCCTGCCCAAGTTCCACCGATTTGGGCAGTCACTCGGCTCCGGCGTTGGTTGGTTGTTGAGCATACGCTCCTAGCCTCTCTCTCGCTCTCATCTCTCTCTTTCCTCCTCCTCTCTCTCTCCCTCTCTCTCTAGCCCCCCCCTCTCTCTCTCTTGCCAACTCATACTGTGTCTATGGTTAACCTAGGTGTCATAAGAGACTTCCAAACGACTCTAAAACTTCCGATATTTTAGGCGACCAGCACTTCCGGTGACGTCTCTCCGCCAAACCCGAATCGAAGCCACAATTCTTCGGCTTGATCTGGCGGCCGCTCATCGACTCGTCAACGTTAAAAACGACAAATTCAAAGCAAGAAAACGTTCAACAGCTGTTCCAATTTACTATTTACCGCCAATAAAGCGTTGTGTGATTGCTTACTTTGTTGCTACGAGCTGCTACTCTTCTAAGCTTTCAGAATTCGAATCCAAATAATAATTCTGCCGGCACGACTTTTTTATTGGGTACCTGACAGCACACGCCAATAATGTCAGCCAGCCCCCAGTGGGAGGACGCCTGCCCTTTCGGGGATATGGCCCCAGCCGCCCGTCCACACCCATGGTGAGATGGCCGAGTGGTCTAAGGCGCTGGTTTAAGGCACCAGTCTCTCCGGAGGCGTGGGTTCGAATCCCACTCTCATCAGACTTTTTGCGTTTTGAACGGAGCTCGAGGCTGGATAGCTAACGTCAGCCTTCGAGCCTCCAAAAGATGGAATGTCTTTTTTTCTTTCTTTCAAATGCTTTATGCATCCGCCATGCATTTGAATAATGCTCTAATGAGGATACGTTCAAAATTTTCTGCTGGTATTCTACGATGCCCCTGGCGTCCGGACGGCCACGACGGCATCGATGATCCTTCGGATATGGCTGCTTTTTGCTACGTTTCTTCGACCCATTACAACCGAATACGTAGGTTAAATTCCAAGATTCTCAGAATCTGGTTTTGCCACTTTAAATGTGAAAAGTACCCTTGCTTTTTAAAGATGGCCCCGTACTTGAACCTGACACGTCGATGCGTGGACTACGGATGTGAGCGGTCTTACGACTGGTACGATACGGGTGGTGGTCGAATCGTGTATTTTAGGACCGAGACCGGCGGGTTGATCGAGTGTTTTGGCCAAGATGTCGACAACATCTATCACTACGGGTTAGTAGATCGATGTTTTTGGACGCTTTCGCATTAGCGGGGGTGACCTCCAAATCCAATTTTTCTTTGGTAAAAAGCAGGCATTTCAAAACTGTTTTTACAATTACGCAACCCGAAAAATTTACAACTTTAGTAGATATTACCAAATATAAAATTGCCGGCCGAAAATAGCCGTTTTCTGACCACCTAATTCAGCGTTTTCCCGGCCTTTAGATGGTTTTTCCACTTGAAAGATTTTATTGTACTAAAAACACTGTTGAAGCACTTACTATTACGTTAGTAGTAACTTATGGTCTTAAGCAGGTAAATTCCGGGGTTTCTCAAATAGACGCCCCCCCCACCCCCGATAATGGGAAAGAACCTTGCTTTTAAAGAGACTACGACATCGTACATCAAATTTTTTGTTTCAGCCCCTCGATCTTCCCGATGCGCAAAACTTATATTTCCAACGAGGACGGCACGATACAATGGACAGCCATCCACTGTTCGCAATATGAGCTCCAAAAAGCACATCAAGCAGCGATATTCGTAAGTTGTGACGTCCGGGGGAAAAGCTAAAAACCTCGGGTAAAATATTTTGCCGCCAGGGTCGACGCTGATTTTTGTGTCTGTTTTTAGCAAAATTTGAATTTTAAACCGTTAGAAAATTAAATTTTTTTTTGCTTTTGGTTGGAAGTCTATTTTTGATAAAAATGTGTAAAGTTTTGAGGCTAGGAATAGTAAAAAAAAGTAATCCTCCGGTAATGCGATGGAACCCCAGGTGAAATTTCCAGTTGGACGTCGCTCCTTACGGCCATCTATTCAACTGCCCAACTATGCGGAACGATATTTGTGAGGAATGCCCAATCGGGACACTGCCGGAGATGTTGAGCGGGTATTGAAGATCATTTTCTGAGGGTAGTGACCGTTCAGGGATCTCGACGAGGCTTGTAAGCTCGTCGTTCTGCCCCCTGAGCACGAGCTAGGGTTAATTGAGGGCCTGTCCTTTTTCGTAAGGAATCAACTGGATGCGATGAGCATCACCTACGAGCTGGATCAGCCGTGCCCCGCGTGGGTTTTTCATTCGGTATTTTCCTAAGCGGTATAGAGAGCGAGAGAAATGTAGGAAGTGAAGCAGAGCGAGATAGAGAGACAGGTAGAGAGAGAGAGCGAGAGAGAGAACCAGGTAGAGAATGAAGAAAGCTTTTCAGCGGCTACTATCAAGAAGCCTCAACATGGGACCACAGAATGAGATGCACGGGGAAATGCGCGCCAAATTGCCGAAGGTGTAACATCAAGTTTGTGCGTACTATTTGTTTTTCCGGCGCTCAACACCATTTTTAGTCCTGCTACCAATGCGACGAGGGCTACCTGCCGGCGTTGATCGGGATAGGCCGCATCTCACACTGCGTTGCGGCGATAGAGACGACAGACCCCGAGAGACCGACGCGCCCTGATTGTCCGCGGTAAGCTACATCTAGAAATTTGGCCAGTCGGGCCAAATTCCAGTCAGGCCCTCTTTTTGTAGAGTATTAAAACCTAGCGTGGGGGGGGGTAACTAGAGTTTACCCATGATATCACTTCCGTTAAGCGGCCAGATGCGAATCGGTGACATCTGCTGGGCTTGCCAGAATTTCATTCCCAAGTGCGAGGAGTGTAATGTGGGTTTTCGGCTGAATTTCGGAAATGTACAAGTTTGCACAATTGTAAGAACTCGCCAAAAAGTCCCTAGTTTAGGCGAAAGCCCAATGCAAACGATGCGAATCCGGCTACACCCCGCTCCGCAGCCACCACCGCGTTACGTGCGTTCCGCTGTGCCCAAGGTTATATTTTTGCGATTTTTCGAGCTCTCTAGTCCCTATTTTCGTTCTCCTAGCATGATACGTAGCGCACACAGATCGCGCGCGATACATGGCGAAAGCGCCCGCGTTGCGTCTCGCGGCCTGGAAAATTTCAGCGCGATTAGAAAAACCGGAGCAAAATCTATAGCCATGCCTTGTTTTCCCCTGTAAAATACACAATTTCAGAGGGCAGTACTACGACCCGGAGACGCAGCGCTGCACAGCATGCCCATTCTGGTGCCGTCATTGTGATGTGTTGGTGCTGTTGCTCGAAAAAAGCTTTTTTTTCCAGGTATGGCTGCCTGGAGTGCGCCACCGGACTCTACAGGCTCAGCACCAAGGTGCAGATTGGCGAAAACTGGTCCGAGCGGCTAGAGTGCCGCTACAATTGCCCGTGGGTGCTGAGCGACGTCTTCAAGCAGTCCAAGTTTTCAGGCTACACTACTACCCGTTGCACTATTTCCCGTATCGCTGCGAGCCGTGTCATCCTTCGTGCTGGGGATGTTGTAGGCTATTTTTCACAATTTTTGAGGGGGTAGACCTTAAAAGCAGATACCCTTCGAAAAAAGTTCTGTTTCAGGGGGCCCCACTGATGAGCAGTGCCTGGACTGTAAGACTGTTGGAGTATTACTGCTACTAAAGGAGAAGACGGTAGGTTTCACAACGCGTTTCCCACAAATCGAAAAGTTGCAGATCAAATGCGAGGGTTCCCTCAACGACCAGCTCAGCGGCGTCAAGAGCCTGAACAGGCTGGCAGAAGCGAGGCTGACAATTGAGGTGTGAAGAGGACCTTACGATATCTGAGACCTTCAGAAGCCTCAGATTAAGATGACATAAATGAGGGTACTTTTGCATCATCGGGGGTGGCGCACTTTTGGCCCCGGGCTCAAAGATATTAGATAACTAGGGTTACTAAATGGTTTTTAAGCGTAAAACTAAAAAAATATAGATTTTTTTGACCAAAAATGGACGAAAATCCCTCAGAAAAACAGTTGATTTTTTCGTTCTTGGTTTTCTCTGAATCCGATTAATTTCCGAGAGTTTAGGAGCAATACCAACACACGCATCGCGAGTACTCGAGGTCGGCCACCGGCGCCGCCATCTTTGTCCGTTCCCTTGAATTGTAAGTATCACTTCACTTGTACGCTTAGGACAGTCCTACGAGTACAACCTTTAGGTTACAACACCTGCCCACCAGCTCTGTCATGCCGCCACATTGTCGACGAAAAGCGGACGGAAGCACTAACCATTTTACCGTACGTAAAATGCCGAAATTCTGTCGGTAGAGTCCGCGTTTTCAGAAGTGCCCCACCTGCGCACCCGGCTACTGGAAGGATTTTAGCGATGGCTGCGTAAAGACTTGTCCAAAGTACGGATAATACCTTTTTTATCGAAAAACCGTTGTTTTAGTAGCACCTTCAAAGGATTACCCGACGCTTGCGTACCATGCTTGGAGCCATATCTGTGCAATCAGTGTAGTTGGGTAGATTAAACTCGAAAAATTACCAAATCAGAACCTTTTTAGTCCGAAAAGTCATGGGGGATGCTTCGAAACGACACGGCGAACTTGTTGATCAACGCCAATTACAGCTTTCACTCGGATCGTGGGGATTTTAGTAATTTCTTCGGACTGCGTGTTTCCAAAGTCCCTTACACCCCTGTTTTCAGTCGGCATCGACCAGGTCTGCCGCGAAGAGACCGAAGAACGCTTGGTGCACAGCTGTGATCCAATGTTGGCTTGGATTCGATGGCGTAATCGATTATTCTCAGCGCTCATTTCGAAGACCAGCAGGGCCACTGCATGCCCTGTCATCCGGAATGTCTCGGATGTACCGGCTACGGGGCGGCGTTGTGTAAGCAGTGTCGGCACGGAATCCGGGATGCTGAGGGGGTAAGTAAAACATTTTGGGGGTTTTCGAGTTTCCATTTTTACCTAGTGATAAATTACAATGCATTTTTTAAAGCGCTTTTTAGCAAAATACAACAAAATTCAAGATAAACCTCGTCCTCAAGCGTTGTAAAAAGTTTGAAAAATTGGAAAAAACGGCAAAATCAGGTCCAAACCGCTGGGAAGAATGCCGAAAATTCTAGTTTAATCCCAAGCCCTGCCTTTTCCAGAGATGCATACAAGAATGCCACCACAAAGCCGGCTACCGTACGATCAGCCCCGTTCCGGGGATGAGGTTTTGCCGTTGGGAGCCGCTGTTGAGCTCGCATGTAAGCTAATTGAACGTCCATTTTTGACGGTTTTAGCTGCCACCAAACTACGCTCCAAAACACAAATTCCCTACCCAATACCCGTCCATCCACATCGGCATTGAACTGGCGATCATCATGGGCTTTTGCCTATACTTTGTCTCACAAGCGGCTGGATTTTATGGCAAGTTAAAGAGAGCGTGCCAGCAAGAATTTTAACTTTTGTTTATTACCATCTCTCCTCGTTTTAGTATCGATGTTCTTCGGCGAGCTCGACGACGCCGATCTGATCTGCTGGCGCTACGAGGGGTAGCTTACGAATCTCGGATCCGAGACTTTTTTCAGTATCGTACAAGAAGCTGCGTTGCGTGAGCTCGAGTACATGGTATTCTTGCGGAAAACGAGGACCGGAAGCAGCAGCTCGTTTGGCCCGACAACCACTCGGGTTCACAGCTCGGATAGCAATGCCCCAGGTTTCTCATATGCGTCTCTCTCTCCTACTCTCTCTTTCTCTTTCTCTCACTCACTCACTCTCTCTCTCTCTCTCTCTCTCTCTCTCTCTTTCTCTCCTTAACAAACTTCGCCCGGTCTTTTCAGCCTCATCATCAAATTCCCGGAAGGCGCTCGGCCCGCTCATGCAAGCCCAGCGCGTGATCGTCCGCCACAGTGTAGGATTCTGGATTTTACAGGCGCTGTATTCTGGGCTTTAGCTCCGAGACCGAGCTCGTCTCAACATGCGCCTCAAACGAAACCTCGAGCTACGGAAGATCGAGGCAAAGAAGCAAAAGGCCAAGTCCAAGTCGAAGAGCAAATCATGTTAGTTTTGTATTGACTTTGCTTTATTAGGCTGCTAGGACTAGGCTCACTGCGCTTGATCTTCTCAATTTAGAACTCTTTCAGTATCCCTCGGAACAACACAAGAAAGCCACCAAGGAACCCTCGATGCGACGTCGTTCACCAGAGAGACGACCGACCGGACGCGGACTACGTTATACACCACCGAACACCCGACGACAGTAGCCACGATGCAAACGATCGAACATCCCGCCTGCAATACGCCAAACACCTCTGAGCGTCGGACCTCGACAGCTGCTGTAGTCTGCCGGACCCCATGTCCAAGTTCCACCGATGCCCCTAATCACTCGGCGCCAGCACCGGTCAGTAGTTGAACACGGTTTTCTAGAAGTTGTCAACGAGCCAACGATAAAAAAATAGGCTCTTGATTAAAACCCTCGATTTCAGGGGGCCAGCACTTCCGGTGAAGACTCCCCTCCTAATAATGCCAATCGCAGCCCCACCTACTCGGGCTGATCTGCAGCTGATCGCAACGTTAAGACGAAGAATTCGAATCGAGAAAACTTTCAACAGCTGTTCCGAATTATTATTTACGGTCGATAAAGCGTTGTGTTATAATAATAATAATAATTTATTTCTGACACCAAGGTTCAACACATGAACAAACTTACAGGTGTAGGAATGTCAATAATGAAGGATAAATGAAGTGGGGGGGTGACGAGGAGAGAGAAGAGAGGATGACTAGAAGATTAAGATAATACAGAATTGGACGGAATATAATTTAAGAGGCTGCGTTTAAAGGTCTTATGATTGCGACCAGTAATTGTATGACTTGGTAGCGAGTTCCATAGGGTAGATACACGGTTACTAAAAAAGGATTTGTGAATGGAAGTTTTTCCTTTGAGCAGGGGCCTAAGTTTATGGGACATGCCGCGGGTTCTAGAGGGGATGGAGCTAAAGAAGGATGCAATAGAAATATTTGAAGGATGACGATGAAGTTTAAATAGAAATGAAAGGTCCGATTTAATGCGCCTATCGCTCAGCGATTCCAAAGAATAAGTTTTTAGTGCTGAGGGGTAGGATGAATAAGGCAAGCGACAACGGTAACACATTTTTCTAAGAAAATCCTTTTGAAGGTTTTCTAGGGAGACTATATCTTTTTTGAGAAAAGGTGAGTAGATAACGGACGCATACTCAACAATTGGTCTGGCATATGTAGTATAAGCTTTTAGGTAAAGGGAAGGAATTCTACTTTTAAAAATACGAAAAATCAAGTAAACAACCCGAGCAGCCTTCTGCACAATCTTCAGGACATGTGGAGTAAAGCGGAAGTTTGTGGAGAGCAGGACACCTAAATCTGGTATAGTTGTGGAGACAGGCAAGGCTGTTCCACATAGTGAATAATTAGCTCTAGGATTTCGTGAGCCATAATGTAGTAATGCACATTTAGAAGCTGCGATAGTCAGCTGATTAACAGCTACCCAATTCTCGAGCTTCTGTAGCTGCTCAGTCAAATTAGAAACTGTTGAGCGATCGAAATGGCTGACTAGCTTCAAATCATCGGCGAATAAAAGGCCATCGGGTAGAATGTTCGCATCGTTAAGGTCATTAATAAAGATCAGAAATAGCAATGGACCCAGTACGCTTCCTTGTGGAACGCCCGATAATACGGGGGCAGACTTGGAATAGGAGTCACCGACCCGGACGACTTGACTTCGGCCCGATAGCCAATTTTCAATCCATAGCAAAAGAGGTCCTTCAATTCCATAAGTGGCGAGTTTGCGGACCAGTCTGGGAAGCGAAACCGTATCAAACGCTTTCGCGAAATCCACGTACACTACGTCCGAGGAGCACCCTTTTCTTCGGCCAAGAGGAGGTTCTGCATGTGGATTAATAATTGAGAAGTAGTTGAGCGATTAGCAATGAAGCCAAATTGATTGGCCGAGAGTAAATTGAACTCCATCAAATATTCAGAAAGGGCTGCCCGTATTATTTTCTCCATGATTTTCGAAAAGGCACTGGTCAACGAAATAGGGCGATAGTTGGCTGGATCGCTCTTCTTTCCCTTTTGAAAAGCGCAGGATAATGGCTTGTTTCCAACTGCTCGGAACATTGCCAGAGTGGAAAGATCGGCTGAATAATAAGAGAGGGGAAGGGCTAATGACGAGGCCATGGCCTTGATTGAATATGCCGGTACAACATCCGATGTACGGGTAAATTTCGGCTTAAGGGATTTTAGAATGGTTTTTTCAACAATATGAGGGCTAAAGTCCACAAATTCAAGGGTCTGATTAGTCCGGCTAGGCAAATAGGATACAGCTGGGGAATTGGCAGTAAAGACGGAGGCAAATTGGTCTTGTAATAGATTGGCCTTATCCTGGCCAAGGACCACTGATTGATTAGCTGAAGTAATTAGGGTAGGAATCTGAATGCTAGGGGCCGTTCGTTTGCGGACATGCCCGAAGAACTGCCTTAGAGCAAAGCTCTTGCCCATTTTCGCACTGGTATCAACAATTTTCATCTCTTTCCGTTGATTTTGTTCGACCAAAGCTTCTTTAAGATCTTTAACGGCATTTCTATAGACGGGAGCATTGCCATGCTGTTTCCAGAGTAGAATTTTACGCTTGTACAGAAGGCGTATTGATTTAGCCAGGCGAGGCTTTTTCTCAAGTTTGAACGGGACCAATTCTTCCACCAGACCAGTTAAAAAGCAATCTAGCTTTTCTGGATTTCTTCTGCTGTACTCTTTCGAAATTCATATATCCAGTTCACCCCCGCTATTCGCCGATTCATTTCGACATAGTCGGCTCTCAGGAAATCTCGCTGCCCGCGGAACACCGGGGAGGAATTCGTCAGCAAAACATTGAATGCAACGACACAATGGTCGCTGAAAGGCTCTTCAACCGATAGCGAATCGATTAGCTCTGGCTGAGGAGCGAATACGAGATCGAGAATATTTTGGAAGCGGGTGGGGGTAGAAACCAGCTGGGATAGACCCAATTTAGCACTGAATTGGAAGATGAGCACAGTTGGCACATTTAGTCAGATTTTTAGGCCAATCAATATGAGGGCATTAAAATCCCCGACAATCAGGAATGGAATCGTCGAATTAGCCAGAATTTTCGAAAATAGTTGCAATGAGGGTCATAGGCGATGGTGTTGCGGATGATACGCAAGTATCATTTTGATAGAAGGACTAGAGGATTTCTCCATATGCAAATCCACCACAAGAACTTCGAGGTCGGTTTGAACAGCAATAGAGTGAATGATAAGATGATCACGGCATATGATGGCAACACCGCCACCATGACCGAGACGATCTTTGCGATAAATCGAATATCCAGGAATTACTAGTAGTGTGTCAAGAATGTCGGGTTTTAGCCATGTTTCAGTAGCGAATATAATATCATATTGTTTCAGAACCAGCAAGGAATTAAGTTGATCCAATTTAGGGAGAACCGAAGCATATTGATCAAGGCAGCAGAAATGCAATCCGATTTCGGAGTTAATTGTGTTTCCTGGCGGATTTACGATCCAGGCCGGAGGTTCGGAGCCTTGAGGGTACTGGCAACGAATCAGTCGGAGGTTCCTTACGGTCCAAAGGGTTTTCCCAGCCGCATTGTTCAATTTGATTGCCTCTTGCCACGCGTTGTGGTAAATAATAGTGTCGGTTTGAGAATAATTGGGACGGGCAATCAAACCGGAACTGCGGTTTTCCGTCTTGTTGAAGCTTTTAGGAAATTCATGGCATCCTTCTGGGACTCGAATTCGGCAATCAATGGACGAGGAGAGGTAGATGTCGGCGGACGAGTGCCGCCTAGCCGAAAAACCTCTTAGGGGCTTTGGAATTGGGTGAGCCCTGGATTTTGTCTTCAATTGCTTTCAAATCCGGACATCGCTTTCGGCCAGGCCACGAATGAATAGTTGTTTATCGCGTAGTTCGGAAGTTTGCTCATCGCGAATCACTTGCTTCAAGGTTGCAATAGGCAATGAAGGCATATTGGCAGCAACTTTGGAAGCATAAGTAGGGAAAGTGGTAGTTTTTTTGGAGCTAGCTTCCTTTAGTTCTAGAATGAGCTTCTGGAGAGTGGAGACTTGTCCAGTCAAGAAGTCGATTTGATTGGACAGGAATTTGTTGTGTTGCACAACTTGTAGCAAGGTATCCATGATAGTGAAATTATCGGCTTCACCAAATTTGTAGGTATCATCCATGGTGGAATCGGGATATCCATTGGGCGGTAAGAAACCCTTGAAGCCGCTTTTAGGCTTTTCGGGTGTCCCAGGGTGCAATCTTTTGGTCGGGGGTGGATGCCCAGTAGGGGATTCAGTACTAGTGGGCAATACCATACTACAGTAAGCCGGGGCAGGGACAATCGGGGGGAGCAGCCGGCTGCGGCGAGAACAGGGGGAGGAATGAGAACAGGGGGAGGAATGAGAACAGGGGGAGGAATGAGAACAGGGGGAGGAATGCTTGCATTGTTCTTACGAGTTATTACATTTCCATGCTCTCAGAATTCGAGTCCAAAACACAAATCTGCCAGCTCGACTTTTTTTATTGGCTACCTGACACATGCCAACAATGAGCACCCAAGCCGGAGGCTGGCCCCTCTCGGGGATATACCCCTTTGGACTGCCCTGTCCTCATGGTGAGATGGCCGAGTGGTCTAAGGCGCTGGTTTAAGGCACCAGTCTCTCCGGAGGCGTGGGTTCGAATCCCACTCTCATCAGACGTTTTGCTTTTTACCTTTTTAGCCTAATTTCCGCTTTTAGCTTTTTTGGCAAAATGCAAATATGCCCTATAGGGCGAATAGATCGCAAGAAGTCAATACGAGAGGAGTCGAATACCAAGGATAGCTCTTTTGAAGGATACTTCGAAAAATTCCCGGACCGCACGAGGGGAAGCTCCTTTTTCGCCTCGACTTTTCGACCCTACGGTTTTGCCTCAAACCCTCCGGAACAAAGTGGCTAAAATTTTATGTGAAACATCAAATAGCAAAAATCAAATTGCTTTCCTAGCAGCAACAACGGTTCCAAAAAAAGACATTATCCTCAATATCTAAAATAAACAAACATCAAAGGGTGGGGTCGCGAGACCACCCTGCCAAATGTCAGTGGACGGGGAAGATGACAAGGTTAGGTGCGAAATTGGGCGGGTAGGGTTGCGCAAAGGATTACCTAATTGGGACTATTCCCCACGGTCACCACGAAGTCCCTAGCACCCACAAACTGGCGATCAGAGCTTTTTCGAACCTTCGGTACCTAAAGTTAAAATACTTTTTTTAATAAATTTGAGCATTTAATTTGTTCGTCGAGCTCCTTTTCGATGATCACTGTGCAATCCTTTCACACCCACAAAATCCACATCATCTGACTGCAATCGCATTGACTCAACTTCACTGATCATTAGTGCAATTTCTCTCTCTCTGTCCCTCCCGTGCTGACTTCTCTCTCGCTCGCTCTGTCTCTCTCTCTCTCTCTCTCTCTCTCTCTCTCTCTCTCTCTCTCGTCTCTCT